TACTCTCTTAGAGGAGTTTATTAACTAAAAATCACTGCTTTATGCAGGCAAAGACAAAATGAATACAAAACCAAAAGGACGTCCACACTGGGGAATTAACCGTACTAAACAGAAGGATCATCCAATCCTGGGGAACAACACTAATGTCTATAAACACAAAACGCCGGTACTAATCCGGGAAAACTAAAGGAATGAGATAAACACAAAAAGCTCCACCAAAAGGGTGAGCTGAACTCTTTAACGAGCATTCTAATGAAGACAAAAATCGAGCTCTGAACTAGGAAGTGTACCACACATGTAATCAAAACGAAGACTTTAACGTCTGGGTTAGGAGGGAAAAAGAGGAACACTCACTTTAACACCAGGCCTCTGCTAAGCTTCCCTGCTCGAATGACAGAGGGAGCTGCCTTTTATAGGAAGCTCCCTGATTGAAGAATTAGCAACACCTGGCTCAGCTAGAGCCAGGAGAACAGGCTTGGAGCTCTGAGGCCATCTTGTGGCCACAAAACAGACAGCGTCCGTAACACCCTCCCCCTCAAAACAACAACTAAAAATTATTTTTGTTGTTGCCACGAAAATAAGAGCACTCCCACTAACTAACTAGACAAAAAAAACTAACTAACTAACTAACTAAAATCCCTGGATCTCGGAAGGCGGGCTGATTAAACACTTTAAAATCACGCTGCGCTGATCCTCAGCGCTGCGGAGTGTTCCCGAGATGGTAGCTTTCGCTACCAGCACTAGCCTTAAGGGAGATCCTCACATCTAAACAAAAACAAAATGTCTACTAGGGAGCCTCAATCCGTGTGGCATTGGGATAGTGCGTCCGCCATCATGTTGTCCGTCCCCTTCTTGTGGCGGACTTCAATGTTGAACTCCTGGAGGAGGAGAGCCCATCTCATCAGACCTTGATTGGCGTGGGGGAAGGTCAGTGGGTTGTGATCTAAGAAAACAACTGTGGTGAAATGGTTGCAGACATACACATGAACATGTTGTAGGGACCAAATTAAAGCCAGAGTTTCCTTTTCTGTTGTTGTGGGGGATGAACTTCCTGGAGAAGTAGCAGACGGGGTGATCAGGTCCGTTAGCATCCTCTTGCGGAAGAACAGCTCCTGCTCCGGCGTCAAAGGAGTCAACCTTGATTTTGAACGGCCGGGACAGATCAGGAGCAGCTAGGATCGGTGCACAACACAAGATTCCTAAGAAAAAGTAAAACCTGGTGACAGACTGGGGTTCAAGAAAAAGGAAGGTTAGTGACAGGAGTAGAATTTCCAGCAGCAAGTGTAAAATAAGGCCGGAGAGTTTGTCCGGTTTCTGAGCTGTGACCAAAGCATTATAGCTTAGAGGGAAATTCACAGAAACCTGGGGCTTCATAACAGCAGAGGTATCTGCAACGGAGTTGTCGTCTGACAGGAAAGGATGTAACACAGAATCACAGAGGGTTATCTCCGGATCCTTTTTAGCTTGCGCTCTAGTTAGCACACAAGCAGGCAGAGGGCCTTCACTAGCATGAACTTCGGGTTCTAAAATGAGTTCAGGCAGAGGTACAACCAAGCCTCCAGCAGCATCGTTTCCTAAAATCAAATCAACTCCCTTTGTAGGGAGTTCGTCCAACACACCAACCAGAAAATCCCCCGAGACTAAGGGGCAGGTCAGTTTAATGTGGTGCATTTCGGCCGAGATAGCTCCCATCTCGATACCGTGTAGCAACACCGAGTAGCCGGCTAGGCTATTTTCAGATAACGGTAACAAGCTTCTTTTTATTAAAGTTAGGGAAGCTCCTGTATCTCTCAAGATAACAACTTTTGTGTCGGCTTCAGAACCCGGAAGAGACACAAAACCCTCTGAAAGGAATGGCTCATAGCAGGGATTTGGCTTTTCAATACTGGGTTTCACACAGCAAGCCATTTCCGTTCTGTTCTGTCCTAATTTGGATAACTTCCGGTTCTACGTTTTTTTAGTTTCAAATAATAACAATCACAGATGACGTGGCCACGTTTATGGCAGTAAAAACACTCTGGTTTTTCAGGATTAGTGTCAGGATTAGTTAATCTTACACTGGATCTGAATGCACGGTTCGCGTCAGTATGAATCTCTCTGACCCGGTGAGTGAGGGAGAACTCATCGGCGAGGAGAGCAGCCTCAGAGAAGGAATTCACCTTCTGCTCATTTAAATAAAGAACCAGTTTTTCAGGAAGATTTCGCTTGAACTCTTCCATCAGAATGAGCTCCTTTAGATCAGCCAATGAGGAAATATGAGAAGCTGAGCACCATTTTTCAAATAACACAGACTTTAGGTGGGCATACTCAACATACGACTGATTTAACTTAGGTTTCTCGAATCTGAACCGTTGCCTGTAGGCTTCAGGAACAAGTTCATAAGCCGTGAGCACGGCCGACTTTACCTTGTCGTAATTAGCACCATCTGTTGGAGACAGAGCGGATACCACCTAAAGGGCCTTTTACCTGTTAACTTGCAAGTCAAGAGGAGAGGCCAGACCTCGCGAGGCCACTGCAGCGTCGCAGCGATCCGCTCAAAGGCAACGAAGTAGCCGTCCACTTCCGTCTCCCGGAACTGGGGCAGTAGCGTGATGCATTTACTGACATCAACGGGTGTTGTTCGCAACGGCGAACTGGCGGGTGTCACTGGATCTGGGCGAACCCCTGTATGGGAGGCAGTCGAGTCATCAGGTTCCTGGGAGGAAGTCCAAGCCGCGTCAGGAACGGGCTTCTTATTTCGCAGCTCGAACTCGAGCATCTTTAGCTGAGTTTCGGCATCCAGTCTCTTTAAGTCCAACTCATGGCGTAATCTCCGTTCGAGAGCGCGTTCATCAGCCTCAATGCGCAGGCGAGCGAGCCGGAGTTTCAGGCGAGGTCCACTGAGGCCTAGTCCACACGTAGCCGGGTTTTTTTAAAAACGAATATCCGCCCCTCCAAAAACTTGCATCCACACCACCGCGTTTTAAAAACAAACTCTGTCCACACGTACGCAAATAAATACGTTGTTAAGGACATGCCAGACCTGTAGGCGGCAGTACTTCCCCCGTTCTTAACCTCGTCCTTCATCTGTGGTCTTCCGCAAGGAGCAGTAATTCCGCTTGCAAAAACAAACAAGCAGAAAGCGCTTGGACAATTGATGGATCGGGTAGTGAAAGAGCGCAGCTCTGAGGGCTTCCATGATGCCGGCTAGTGTAAACAGAGGTCGCACACGTGATGTCAGCATTTTTTGTCGCGGAAAGTGACGTTGCGGACCTTAAAACTTCGGTTTTGTCCGTCCACACGCAGACACCCAAAACGGAGAAAACGCAGATCTTCACTTTGGCCGGAGTTTTTAAAAAGATTCGTTTTTGTGTGAAAAAACTCTGTTTTTGTGTGGATGACAGGCCAAAACGTAGAAAAATATCTACGTTTTGGCAGATCCCTGGCTACGTGTGGACAGGGCCTAAGTGGTGAAGTCGAAGGACTCTGATCTGGTGACGGTGAGCCGGAAGAGGATTCTTCTGGTTTGACCTTTTTCCTCTGGAGTCATTCGAGGCGATGAAGGGCGTGAGCCGGTTTCGGAAGGAAGCGAAAGGATCTCTTGAGCCTCCAAATAGTCCACAACGAACTTCAGTAGAGCATCTTTTGGGAGCGATTTTGGGACAACCAGATCGAAGTGGGCAGCTACTTCCTGCAGGTCGGCTTTTCTGCAATGCTCCAGCAGCCGGCGCGAGGGAGCCTCCACAAAAGCCCGCAAGTCAAAGTTTGCCATGGTGACGTCCACTCCACCTCCAAGAGAGGAAAACAAGGTTAGTCCAGAAAACACAAATAGATGAAAAAACCGGGTATAAATGTACAAAAACGACAAATAATCCCGGACGAGCCCCCACTCTTACGGCCCCCAGCTCGTCTAGGAGATGATGTTAAAGGGGGCATAAAGAAAGATATGTGAATTTCCAGACACACCAAGATTTACTCTCTTGGAGGAGTTTATTAACTAAAAATCACTGCTTTATGCAGGCAAAGACAAAATGAATACAAAACCAAAAGGACGTCCACACTGGGGAATTAACAATACTAAACAGAAGGATCATCCAATACTGGGAAAACAACACTAATGTCTATGTAACTATGTTAGATTTCTGACTGGGTCTAGGAAATGGGATCACATCAGTCTGGTGCTTGCCTCCCTGCACTGGCTTCTGGTCTGTTTTTGGGCACGATTTAAACTTTTGGTGTTCGTTTTTAATTTCTTTCAGAGAGCTGCACCCCTCTATTTAACTGCACTCCTGAATAGACATGTTCCATCATGCTCTTTGTGCTCCTCTAATCAGGGCCTGCTCGCTGTCCCTCGTACTAGATTTCAGACTCGCGGGGACCTTAGGTTTTTAGGCATTCTAAGATATCTCAAACATTATTTCTACTAGTGTAGTTATTATGGATATCCTTAATTTCTATTAGTAACAAATAGCTGTTTGTCTTTGAGATTTTGACTAGTAAAAAAACAATTGTACAAGGATAAATTATATTATTGCTACACGAAATAGGTATTAATGAACAATCGGCTCATGATTAATTAAATGTTAAAACGGCTTGCCATACATCTTTCCTATAAAAGCAGCAGCAGGTCATACAGCCTGGTTGGTGAGCAGTCACATACTTGGCTATCTTCTTACGGTTCATTTCAGCACGATCTTCTTCTGTTGGTCTACAAACCTGCTTCTATAGTGGTGAGTTTGTTCTCATGTAATTTTGCTTTGATGTGCTGTTTATTTCTTGTACATCCTGTAATTCTGCAACATTGTGTTTTAATATACAAAAAAACCAGCTGCGCTTCATTCTTTTGAGTTTTTATTTCTTTCTCGTCCTTACGCAGTTGACGTTTTCTCGTTAAAATGTGCATCGTGTCTGACGAGATGCGTCACTGCTCAAAACGCGGCGCTTAGTTCGTGTGAACACCGCAGAATGTAAACTTAAGCGGTGTAGGGTAGGTAGGGTAGGGTCTGACAGTTTGCGTGTCGCGTTTACTACCTGTAGTACGGTACAGCCGTCACGTGACACGGAAGCGCGTGACCAACGTTCATCTGAGCTTGTTTTTTATAAACATGTCTTATCCATCGAATATATGTCGATGGTTTTATCGCAGCGTTTCCAAAGAAGCTCTGGTGGGCACCATCTCCCTCGGAGTTGTTTTTGTCGCAGGATATTTTTATGGTAAGCGCGAAAGCGTTTTTGTTGAACTGCTCTACAAAAGGTACCCCTAGGAACTGGTGCGCATGTGCCGTAATTATATTTAAAGCTACAAACTGGCTTTAATTGTTTTTTATGCCACTTGTTTTATTTGAGGTTTCTATTGAGTTTGGGTTTTGTTTATATTAATATAGCTTAATATTCGAAGCTATACAAGGTTTCAGGGCTGACAACGTTAGTCTTCTTGACATGCATGACCTTTAGTGTTTCCTTAGTAGCAAAATGGGTTTCTTCAACTGAAGGAAAGTCAATTTTTTTCTAATGCAACAATCATTTTGGATAGTTATAAAGGCTGATTCACGGCAAGAAATGCTACATTTATTGGCTATAAACCGAACAGCCAATATTGCATCATATTCCAGTATCACAATGAAACTGCACATCTGCTCCAAGTCTGGTTTCAAGCCCACTTGTTTTCTGATTTTCTTTTTTTTTTTTTTTTTGGGGGGGGGGGGGGGGGGGGTAATCATTTAGATATTTTGAATGTCCTCACAAAGTGCCAAATAATACAGCCTTTATTCTACCCTCCCACCCCCAGCCATTTCCATTAAAGATAAAATGTAAACAGCAGAAGGAAATTTGTCTGTAAGAGAACCATCTGGTGCCCTGTAATCCAGAAACGGGAACACACATGAATTATCAGGCTCATTTATTGTGAAGCTGTCAACCTATAAGGTCTTTAAATTTCCTGTTTCCTCCATTTTATTTTTTAATCTTGTTCTCATGCTGTAAATGTAAAAAACATTAGATTTACCCACCAAGATCACTTAAGTCAGATCAAATTTAAATGAACCAGAGTGAAGTTTACCGAAAGACGTTCAGTCTGATATCACTGTGCTCTTGAGATGCTTATTGCTTTATGTTTGCCCTCAGGGAAGAGGAGGCCTTTCACAATGAGCATCTCTAAAAGTCATGGCGGAGGAAAAGACAACCCACTGATGCAGTACGTCCTCAATCACTCCTTGAGGGAACATCCGGTCCTGAATAAACTCAGGCTGGTGAGTTGGTCTGAGCTTCTGGCACAACGAAGCACCAAGTGCTGAATGAGATCTGTTGGGTTTTGCAAAGTAATCCAAAAAATGTATGCAACTGGTGTCTACTCATCTTGTTTTTAGAGGACGATGGAAGACCCCTGGAACATCATGATGGTTGCCTGTGAGCAGGCGCAGTTCATGGCTAATTTGGCAAGACTGATTAAAGCCAAGAAAGCGTTAGAGATTGGTACGTGGGTCAATTTGAACATGAAATGCAAGATTAGTGCAGATATCTCTCTGGGATTAATAAAGTGTCTTTGAATTGAATTGAATAGATGATTGCTTGAAAGACATCACTGCAGGTGTTTGGAAACATTAATTTACATTAATTGTTTGAATTTAATAAACTATAAAAGGAAGTTATTTTTATGCAGAAATTGAATGCAGAATTGAACTAAATGTTCAACTGAGAACTGCATCAGTTTTCCCTCCCCTGGAAGCCCTCAGTTTACACACCCAGGCAGGGCCAGAAAAAATGATCCAACTTCTACCTATAGTACATTATTTATATGAACTCTCAGCATACCGGGGATTCTGTTGAACGGAGCAAGCGCTGCTGCGCTCCAGCTGCGTCCTGTAATTCGTCCCCTACTAATATCTAAGAGTGATGGATGCAACCGCAGCACCTGACAGACATGCCACATGTCATTTTATTTTATTTTTTAAAGAAAATGTTACCTGGACCTGAATCTAAAGCTAAAACATAACGTGATGTTTGGACCAGTGTTGATTAAAGGCAGAACTCTAAACAACAAGGATACATCCAGCCATTTATGTAATCACTTCTTTCATCCCACTGCTGTGCTGTCACAGATTTTCTAACCCTAACCCACCACACACACATGTAAAAAATTGATTTTAGAAGCTTTTTATTTTTATATTTTTCCCTCAATCACCTTGGTTACATGAAGATTATCAAAAATGTTGAATCTAATTGGTGGATGGGGAAACTTGAGTACCTGATATGTCCCAACAGGAAACCTGTGTTGCTTCCTTATAATACAAGGTGGCAGGCTCACATATGTTATATTTACAGGTGTATACACAGGCTACAACACACTGAGCATGGCGCTGGCTTTGCCTGATGATGGAGTTGTTGTTGCATGTGATATCAGTGAAAAATATACCAACATTGGCAAACCGTTCTGGAAAGAGGTATGGTACAGATTAGTGATGCACGATATGAAATATTTGGGCTGATATTAATATCGCTGTTATGGCCGATAATCGATATTTGCCGACACCGATAAACTGATGTTAATGCTTCTAAAATCAGCAGATTTTGTATAGCATGAAAATTATTTAAGCTGAATTCACATAATTATGTCCACACACTTATGCTTCTGAGATGATTACATTTACTGTTACATGACTAAACAAACACATCACACACACACACACACACACACCCTCCCCCTCAGCGTCTGAAACTGATAAACAAATGGAAACAAGATGGAAGAAAATATCGGTTAATATTGGCCGTCTTATTTATCGGACCGATACTGATATGTTAAAAAATGACCGGCCAATACAGATATTGATGCCGATATATTGTGCATCCCTAGTACATATCGTTAGTGTGACACAATGTGATGTTTGAGGTGAAATGTGGTGCTGTTATATAAATTCTCGTTTTCTATTTTTCAAAAAGTGGTGATCAGTGAAGATGATCATATCTTAACAGGTGTGACTTAGTTTGGTTGAAGTTGTTAATCTGAGTCTGCAGTGTTTTTATGACTCCACATACTTTCAAAAAATAAAAAAGACCACTGGTTAATTAGGACTCAAACAGTAAAGTAACAGTTCTTTTGTCTTACAGGCTGGGGTTGAACATAAAGTTGATCTACGCATTCAACCAGCATTGAATACTCTTGGTACCGTAATAAATCTCTTTACCATTGTAACATTTCTTTGGAATTGGGACATTTTGATTAAAAAAATCCTAAACTCATGATGTCTTTGTCCTGTAAAAAAAAAAAAAAAAAAAAAAAAAAAAAAAAACTTGATAAAATGTATTGTTGCATTCACAACAGTGTTGTTTTGAGGCCTTTTTTGAAAAAAAAAAATTCCCTCCAAATCTTTGATCATTGCACACGTTTGAATAATTTACCAGGACAGAACCTCCTCGAAAGTTTGGCAAAGGTCACAACTGTTTTATCAGCAACTACAGGTCTTTCTCAAAAAATTAGCATATTGTGATCAAGTTCATTATTTTCTGTAATGTACTGATAAACATTAGATGTTCATATATATTAGATTCATTACACACAACTGAAGTAGTTCAAGCCTTTTATTGTTTCTAATATTGATGATTTTGGCATGAAAACCCAAAATTCCTATAAAAAAATTAGCATTTTTAGCCGACCAATAAAAAATGTTTTTAATACAAAAGTCAACCTTCAAATAATTATGTTCAGTTATTCACACAATACTTGATCGGGAATCCTTTTGCAGAAAGGACTGCTTCTATGCGGCGTGGCATGGCGGCAATCAGCCTGTGGCACTGCTGAGGTGTTATGGAGGCCCAGGATGCTTCGATAGCGGGCTTAAGCTCATCCAGAGTGTTGGGTCTTGCGTCCCTCAACCTTCTCTTCACAATATCCCACAGATTCTCTATGGGGTTCAGGTCAGGAGAGTTGGCAGGCCAATTGACAGTAATACCATGGTCAGTAAACCATTTACCAGTGGTTTTGGCACTGTGAGCAGGTGCCAGGTCGTGCTGAAAAATGAAATCTTCATCTCCATAAAGCTTTTCAGCAGATGGAAGCATGAAGTGCTCCAAAATCTCCTGATAGCTAGCTGCATTGACCCTGCCCTTGATAAAACACAGTGGACCTACACCAGCAGCTGACATGGCACCCCAGACCATCACTGACTCTGGGTACTTGACACTGGACATCAGGCATTTTGGCATTTCCCTCTGCCCAGTCTTCCTCCAGACTCTGGCACCTTGATTTCTGAATAACATGCAAAATTTGCTTTCATCCAAAAAAAGTACTTTGGACCACTGAGCAAAAGTCCAGTGCTGCTTCTCTGTAGCCCACAGGGTATCCGCGGGTCCTTAAAAAGTCTTAAATTTGCTTTTCAAAATTTAAGGCCTTAAAAATCCTTAAAAATGACAAATAATCCTTAAATCCAGTTTCCAAAGGTCTTAAATTACCAAAGGCCCACTAAACAAGATTCTTTTATTTCTATAAAAATTTCGTGGTTAGTGTTCAGCATTTTTTGTGTATGATGTTGGCGTAAGCGGAACCCTACACATTCAGTTGGTTGTGAAAGGGGGCTGTTTTTAGATGAGCACATTAGCTGGTTAAGCTAGTGGGAGCTTGCGCCATGGGGAAGTTTAATGGTAACTGGACACGCCTGTACACGGTGACTCTGGATGTTTCTACTCCAGACTCAGTCCACTGCTTGTGCAGGTTCCCCAAGGTCTGGAATCGGTCCTTCTCCACAATCTTCCTCAGGGTCTGGTCACCTCTTCTCGTTGTGCAGCATTTTCTGCCACACTTTTTCGTTTCCACTGAGGTGCCTTGATACAGCACTCTGGGAACAGCCTATTCATTCAGAAATTTATTTCTGTGTCTTACCTTCTTGCTTGAGGGTGTCAATGATGGCCTTCTGGACAGCAGTCAGGTCGGCAGTGTTACCCATGATTGCGGTTTAGAGTAATGAACCAGGCTGGGAGTTTTTAAAAGCCTCAGGAATCTTTTGCAGGTGTTTAGAGTTAGTTGATTCAGATGATTAGGTTAATATCTCGTTTAGAACCTTTTCATGATATGCTAATGTTTTGAGATAGGAATTTTGGTTTTTTTTTAGCTGTATGTCAAAATCATCAATATTAGAAACAATAAAAGGCTTTAACTACTTCAGTTGTGTGTAATGAATCTAATATATATGAAAGTCTAATGTTTATCAGTACATTACAGAAAATAATGAACTTGATCACAATATGCTAATTTTTGAGAAGGACCTGTATTCTCCTCCAGTGTTTCCTTTTTCCCAAATTGTTTTTTATACACTTTCATGATCAGCAGTTACTACTTTAAAAGGATATTCCACCCAAAAATGAAATGTTGTCTGACATATTTCCCAACATTTAAGGCCTAGCAACCCCAAGGACACAAAGTTCTATAAACAAATGTGTACGTTGTTGGCAAACCTACGTAACACACACACACACACACACACACACACACACACACACACACACACACACACACACACACACACACACACACACACACACACACACACACACACACACACACACACACACACACACACACACACACACACACACACACACACACACACACACACACACACACACACACACAAATATGTGAGGCGTGTGTGTGAGAAATGCAGTATTTTCTATTTGCAGAATTGCTGCGCTCAGCTCAACCCAATCAGCCTTCTGCAGGAATTGAGACCTAACAGACTCTGATCAATAAAAAAACAAAGCTTCCAAATACCTGGATCTGCTCCTCCTCTTGTAATCTAATATAAATCAGTTTGAATGATCAGCAATCCCTCTGCAGCCATAAAACACAAGTCATTCCACCTGCAGTCCACGGACAGGAGGAATTAGGCTTATTAAATGTGTTTACACCATTAAGTTTAACTCTTCAAACAGCTCTGTAGAAAGCTGTCACTCCTGCAGTGTTGGGAGACAAGTAAAGCAGATTCACGGAGTAGCAGTGTGTGCTGCTTCACAAAACGGATCACTCACTCCTCCCAGACATGCAGAAGTTGAACTAATGTTTTAAAAATGAAAAGAACGTTTTGCTGATAACACTTTTTATTAGCAATTCTCAAAAGAGAATGGGCTGCATGGTGGTGCAGTTGTTAGCACTGTAAGCACGAAGGTTGCATGTTCGAAACTCAGCTGCGGCCTTTCTGCGTGGAGTTGCGTGTTCTCCCCATGCATGCGTGGGTTTCCTCCTGGTACTCCGGTTTCCCCCACAGATCACAACATGCCCTATTGGTTATAAAATGTAAGTCGCTTTGGATAAAAGCGTCTGCCAAATAAACAAAAAAGAAAACCGAGCTGCTTTACATGCATGCATGTTTTATGCTGCTTCACTAACGTTAGCATCTGTGTTTACAGAAGTGGGTGCTAGGGCTGGGCGATATGGCCTAAAATTTATATCACGATATATTGGATTTCACATCTAATGATAAATGGAAGATAACTACAGGTATGCGCAGAAACAAAGGTTGTCCACTAGATGGGGCTGTCACATGTATTATGTTGAGTCACATTTTAATGTGACAAGGTGATACAGCTTCTTAAAGGGATGTGAATGTTGCCAACCTACACATCTTTTCAGTTTTTTATTATCAAATTTATTAACATGGGGAAAAATGATCACGATAAGAGTCAGAAATTTTGATAACTATACATTTTTGATTTATTGCCTAGCCGTAGCGGGTGCCTTTGGTACTGCCTTGCACCTCTCAGCGGAGGCTTATAGCTGTGCTGTGTCATAAAGTAGTACCGAGTCTAAAATGGTGCCTGTGATTCATATTTCTAATTATTTTCACTTGCAGTCAGTCTGATTATTTAGGTTGCAAAGCAGGATTGAGGTCACTACTGAGTAACTTTAAGGACTTTTTTACTCTGTGCTAGTTGGATTGTAACAGTGGATCACTACCACACCTAAATACTTGACAGATCTACTGATCTTATACTTATAATTGGAATGAGACACATTCATGAGGTATTGAAATGCTATGTTTGTATACTGATTAGCAGGTGACCCTGTAAAGTGGAAAGTAAGATATTTATTGAGATGAAGAACTGAACAAGGAAATGGCTGTGGAACAAACATTTGTACTGTGGGTGTGTGCTTACCTTTCCTGTTTCCCGTCAGCAGGTGTGTGAGCAAAATAGTTACTGATGGTGTGTGGATCATTTAAAGCAGGGGTCCCCAATCCTGGTTCTGGAGGGCTGGTACCCAGCAAGTTTTGTGTTTTTTCTGCTCCAACAGACTTGATTCAGTGGTTGAAATACCTGTGCAGCAGCTCATCAAGCTGTTGTAGTCTGTTAATTATAGCTGCTGATTGAAATCAGGTGTGTTGAAACAGAGTTCAAACTAAAACATGCAGAATACCGGCCCTCCAGGACCAGGATTGGGGACCCCTGTTAAATAGGTTCCTGAGAGGTGTATCAAGAGGATTGGAAGATTGATTGGGTTATTTTAATATGGTGTGAAGTATTGATGCATGTTCTGCTTATTTATAGAGATGAAAGTGTAGTGTAAATTTTAAAGTAACTATGATTGCATATAGTGTTAAGGTTTTAGGTGATGGTTTATCCCAATTAGTGAGATGTATAAAAGCTGATGTTTTCACTGAGAAACAGGTGTGTGTGGGATGTAGAAGTCTGCGCAGCAAAAATAAAGAAAAGAACATAATTTTCCTGTCCTCTGGTTTGTGATGCTACTCTGCTAATGGATTGCTTCCAAGGACTGGTCGGCCAAGCTAGCATGGATCGATTCACTTACTGTGTTTTATGCTAAGCTAAAGGAGTTCAGCCAGGTCAGGTGACTGGTTGAGCTGGTTAACCCCCCACTTATATAACACTGGGAAATAAATCAACAACAAAATTTCAATTTTGGGTGAATTTCCCTTTAAAATTATTTATTTTGCCAAACTTGCATCTGAATATTTTATTGATTGAAAAATGTAATGAGGTATTTTATTTTGACTAAAATGAGACTAATCTGATCAAAACTTTTTTTTCTCCTCCTCAGATGAACTTCTGTCTTCTGGTCAGGCTGAAACTTTTGACTTTGTCTTCATAGATGCAGACAAAGTTAACTATGATAATTATTATGAAAAGTCTCTATTACTAGTGAGAAAAGGAGGAATCATCGCAATCGACAACGTAGGAGTTCACACCAAATCATGTTTGTCATTTTGAATGCCAGGTTGTAATAAACGAGGCTTTTCTGCTGCTGCAGGTTCTGTGGGGGGGGCAAGTCCTGAATGCATCCTCCAAAGGTCCAGACACGGTGGCGATAGACAAGCTGAACAAGAAGCTGCACAGAGATGTACGAATCACCTTGAGCATGCTAACGGTGGGAGATGGGCTCACGCTGGCAGTCAAACTTTAAGCTTAATGAAGACACTAAGTGTAATATCAACACTAGATTACTATTGGGCAAAGGTGCAGGCATATTTGGAAACTGTTGCCAGAACATGTTTGGTTTGTGGGTTCATGTGAGGATGTCAAGTTTTATGCCGCTCAACGTCAAACATTGCCTCTTGTTTAACTTCAGCTCTTGAATTTAAGGACCAAGGATTTAAACGTTTATGGGGAGAATATTGCACTTTGCTTTTACAGTGGTTTTGACCATGCTGCTTAACTGTATTAAAAAGGACATGAAAGAATGACTGGTTTCAGGACTTTATTGTACAGGTAGACACACAGAAACACACAAACCCATCTGATAAGTGTCACAGTTCTCACAAACGGGAAGAGAGCTGGTTAATTCACTCTGGTTTCAGTCAGGTCATGAGAAAAATAACTGGTTTAACCATGATTTCTAGCTAAGGAGATAAGCTAAGTAGCAGATGTCTAAAACATACAGCAGGATAAAGCCTCAGGAGCAGCAAGTTGATGCACTTCAGACCCTAATCAGGCAGTAGAACACCACCAAATCAATAAAATATGGAAATATAAGGAATATTGTGCAAAAATAATCACTCAAATTTACATTCTATTAGATAAAACTTCTGCAAAATATAATTCTGGACCATCAAAATAAAAGAAGCTATGTTTTAATTATACAGGATTGTTAGATAGTGGAGGATAAATGGGCAGAATGAGGAATACCCTGATAAATGGAAATGTCTTCATCTCACCAGTGCCTAGGGGAGGGGGTTCTACTTGGTTTTGGCCTTGTCATTGAAATATCTGTTTCTAACCACTCACAAACACTGAAGATTAGCTTCTGTTGATACCAGCAGAGATGATCCTCATGCCTCTAACTCCAGGCCTAGACCGAGCTTGTGACCTCCAGCGTTGATATTCTTCCCATCTACTAACGCTGACAGAGTGAGTTTCATACCTGCAATGATTGTTTAACATGTAAGATGTTAAAGTTTTATGGTGATTAGAGGTGGTAATGTCTTGTGATGTGGATCTTACCAGGCCGTAGAGTCTGAGTGTATCCAATTCCTAACAAGCTAGCATTATTCACCTTAGCCTGGAACAGAAAAGTATAATCCAAAGGTTGATCACATCTGAATATCCAAACCATTTTCTAAATAGTTCTTTATTTGTGAAACCGTTATATACACATTTAAAAAAACATTATTAAATGGAAGTCAGCATGGTTTTAGACACAACCGAATTACCCCCTATAGTGCAGATGGTAGAAGAAATGGCACAAGCCAACATATAATTAATTCCCTTTGAATTTTTGTAGATTTAAAGGCTTTTGATACAATAGGCCACAGGAGATTATTGATGAAAATGGAGGATTATGCATTACAAGGTATGATTTCAGGGATAGAACGTAACTTAAAAGAGAAAACAGTGCATGTCACGGCCCCTGCCGTTGGGAGAAACAAAGCACCCATCCTGCAGGCAAACTAATGTTGCTGTGCCGGTGCAACCAGATGATTGGCTGCTTGGAACATCCCGCTTCTACCTGTTCATTAGCTGGCTGTGTGCAGCCTGTAATTGCACTAAGAGGCTGCACCTTTTATGGTATGGGTGCAACATAAAAGCCTGCTTGATGCAACTTCCGAGGAATCCGAGCGAGTGATTACCTCTGGGGAGCTCCTGTCTGTGCGGAGACCTGATTTTAAATAAATCTACAATTTCCACGAGGTGTCCAGACCTCATCCGTGTGTTGTGGTCCCACAACAAGCCAGTGTGAAAAGACACATGATCAGGGTTTAGATAAATAATCTGATGTTCCACAAGAATCAGCAACAGGTCCAAAACTTTTCATATTATATATAAATGATATATGCAACGCTACAGAATGTTTCTACTTAATGTTTGCAGATGATACAAATTTAGTTTGTGCAGGCAACACAAGAAGGCATTTGACCGCATCCCTCTGGAAGCCCTGTGGGGGGTACTCCGTGAGTATGGGGTACCAGGCCCTCTGATATGGGCTGTTAGGTCCCTGTATGACCGGTGTCAGAGCTTGGTCCGCATTGCCGGCAGTAAGTCGGGCTCGTTCCCAGTGAGAGTTGGACTCTCCCAAGGCTGCTCTTTGTCACCGATTCTGTTCATAACCTTTATGGACAGGATTTCTAGGCGCAGCCAAGGTGTGGAGGGGATCCGTTTTGGTGACCTGAGGTTCAGGTCTCTGCTTTTTGCAGATGATGTGGTCCTGTTGGCTTCATCAGAACATGATCTTCAGCTTTCACTGGAGCGGTTCGCAGCCGAGTGTGAAGCAGCTGGGATGAGAATCAGCTCCTCTAAATCTGAGACCATGGTCTTGATTCGGAAAAGGGTAGAATGCCTTCTCCGGGTCACGGATGAGGTCCTGCCCCAAGTGGAGGAGTTTAAGTATCTCGGGGTCTTGTTCACAAGTGAGGGGAAACTGGAGCGTGAGATTGATAGGCGGATTGGTGCTGCATCTGCAGTGATGCGGGCGTTGTACCGGTCTATCGTGGTGAAGAGAGAGCTGAGTCAGAAGGCGAAGGTCTCGATTTACCGGTCGATCTACATTCCTACCCTCACCTATGGTCATGAGCTTTGGGCAGTGACCGAAAGAACAAAATTGCGGATACAAGCAGCCGAAATGAGTTTTCTCAGAAGAGTGGTTGGGCTCTTCCTTAGAGATAGGGTGAGAAGCTCGGTCATTCAGGGGGGGCTCGGAGTAGACCCACTGATCCTCCACATCGAGAGGAGCCAGTTGAGGTGGCTTGGGCATCTGGTCAGGATGCCTTCTGGGCACCTCCCTGGTGAGGTTTTCTGGGCACGTACAACCGAGAGGAGACCTAAAGGTAGACCCAGGACACGGTGGAGGGACTATGTCTCTCATCTGGCCAGGGAACGCCTTGGAATTCCCCCGGAGGAGCTGGCCTAAGTGGCTGTGGAGAGGGAAGTCTGGGCCTTTCGACTTAGGCTACCGCCCCCGTGACCCGACTCCGCCCCTGCGACCCGACTCCGGATAACTGGTTGAAAATGGATAGATGGATGGATAGGCCAAAATCTAAAGGAACTTTTAAAGACTGCTGAAAGAGGTAAATATCCTAACATCTTGGTTTGTTGTGAATAAATTATCACTAAATATAAAGAACTAAAGTTACAATATTTGGAAATCCAAATGTGGAAATTAGTCACAATTTCAAATATTGAAGTTGAAATGTTTTCAAACCATTTTGTCTTGGGGCCCCAAAATATCTTGATATGGCCCTGGGTGTGGGACTGAGTTTTGAATGTGATCTGAATTGTATCAAATACACAAATATTACATGCTTATAAATGATTGCTTTATAAAGGTAAAAATGTGTAGTGGGATATATCTACCTTCCTTTTCAAGCTCTTGGTTTTGTTTCTATTTGACTATTTTCCTATTCTGTCCGTCTCTGGTCTTCCTGCATCTCCACTCAACCCTCCAGAACGGGACGGCACGCTGGCCAATACTATGATTACCACTGTGAGACACAGCATTTTAAAACATTTCAAGAAATCACTGTGTTGTTTAAATTATTTATTTATATTGCACTGCTGCACATAAACACCTGAGAAAATCAGTGTCAATATTTAGTACAGAAGCCTTTGTTTGTGTACAAGCGTTTCCTGTGGTTCTTCACCAGGTTTGCACAAACTGCAACAGGGATTTTGGCCCGCTTCAGAATTCTTGCTGATTGCCAGGTGTTCAAATACCTTTGTGCAGCGGTGCAATACAAATAAATTCATAAAAATTGTACAGTGTGATTTCCTGACTTTTTAATGTCGTCTCGCACAGCAGGAATGCACCTACAATGTGAATTTCAGACCCCTCCATGATTTCTAAGTGGGAGAACGTGCAAAATGGCAGGGTGCTCAAATACTTATGTTCCTCTGTGTATGTATAGGACGCTTCTATCTACTGAATGACTTTGATGACTGACAAAAATAAATACTGTTGAAAGCACTAAATTATCCAGATTGGTTCAAATGAAACAAAACCACCCACCACCCCCACTCAGCAGTTCATGCTAACTGGAAACTTACTGATATGGAGGCACTGGAGTCCAGCAGGTATTTAGCAGCGATTCCAAATCGAGTGCCGTTTGTTCCTGCAGTCCAGGCAAGACTTACGGCGGTCTCCAGGTTGTCATTTACCTTCTGATAGATGTATCCACCAAACTCTGAACCATCATTTCTATGTGAGGGGAAAAAGCAAGACAAGGACAAAAAAAATGTAAGTCTTTAAAGCAGAATACTGGAGTTCTTCCCTTTTCAGGAAATATGTATGATTTTTTAGAGATCCGTAACAGTGATGATCTGACTGTTCTGTGATAATGCAGCCGACGTCAATTCTTTACTAAGCCCGCCCCCGTCCCGTAGAGGCCCACAAGTACTTAACATCCACTCTGACATCTGCTTACATACAGATGTCAGTCACGAAGCATGTACGCATGTTTGTTAGGTCTTATCTCTGTGAGAGAAGCTTCTCTGTGAAGCTTGGCAACACCACCTCGTCATTTAGTGCTAGTCTCTCATGGGGGGTTCCTCAGGGGTCTGTTCTGGGGCCATTGTTGTTTTCTCTCTACCTGCTTCCCCTTGGTTCAGTCTTTAAAAACCACAAGATCAGTTTTCATTTGTTTGCAGATGATTGCCAAATCTATTTTCCGTTGAGACACGAATCCACAGCTTTAGTGCAAACACTCCTCGATTGTCTAGACGAAGTTAGAGCATGGATGGCCTCTAGCTTCCTTAGTTTTAATGACAGCAAAACTGAGGCTGTTGTTGTTTTTAAACTGAGTTCCAGTGGCGTAGCTAAAAAGACAGATGACCTCTCTTCACTGGCCTCCTCTGAAAAGGAACTGGTCACTAACCTTGGGGTGAAGTTGGATGCGTCCCTAAGGCTCGGGACGCACATCAATGGCGTGGTCCGCTCCTGCTTATTTGAGGATTTAACAGAACGTGCTCTCTGGAGGGAACGCGTTCTCTGTGAGCACGCTGATCTCAAAGGAAATCCTTCTGCTATGCTGGGATTTGGGACCCTTTATGATGCAACAGATAAACCGCACGAATCCGATTCCATAGAACCCTCCAGAACCTCCTCTGCTCCCTGATCATAGACAACTCATTTCCAAATAACACTAACTCCAAACAGAACAACTCCTTAAATGTAAATGACAACCCATTACTCTACCATTTATCAGATTCATTATTTTATTTATACCTGACGGGAACCTCTCCTCTGTCCAGACCGTGTTTATAACCTCCGCAACTTTCGTTTGTGCTTCGGCAGCCAGTGTTTCGATATCGCTGTCAATAAAGTTTCTGAAAATTATTTTCGAAAAAGAAAACAGGAAATTCTCTCATGTGCTGAGGACGTAGCATGACCAAATATGGTTGATTAAGGGCGTTTCTGTATGTAAATGACTGAGAACGGACACGAGCACCTGGGTACGCACATGCACAGGTGGGATTTATCATCGGTTGCGGAGGAACGTGCATACGAGAGGCCACCGCATGTTTCTTGAATCAGTCTTTTGACCGTTCAGACACACATTCTAATTTTTGATCATAGGAGGAAATATAGGACGGTTTCTACGAGTGTTTGATAAATGAGGGCCAGCTTTCTGCCTTTACATCTTCCAACTAAAAAGTGCATCGTAATAGTAAAAGGGTGGAGCCTTTTACAAAGACGTTTCTAAAGCCTGGAGGTTATTTTGATGCGATTTGTATATTTGCTCATTTTGAGACCTACACATTGGTGCTGAGCTGGAAGTCCCCGGTTTGGTAGCCAACAGCGAAGTTGCTATGGGTCATCTTGGATTTGGCCGAGTCAATGGTCATCTGGTAGCCTGCGAGCCATCCCTCATATCCAGCCACCGCTGCCCCATGGATAGTTGGACCAGCAAAATCTAGATCTACATCAATGCCTGCGTTAAGGTGTTCCCGCTTATACGCTGTCTTCACTTTACCGCTCTTCTTCCTGTGGGGAAAAAAACAGAGAAAAAAAGATTAAAAATGTAAACAATGGGGTTATATTTTAATTAGGCCTAAGTTAGATCCAACTTGCCCAGTGTTGGGTGAGAATGTTGTTTCAAAGTTAAGTTTCAACCCTTTGGTGATCTAGAAGAAGAAAATGATGGCATGAATATTATAGAGCTTCTAACAAGTAGAATGAGCATCAGCAGAACAACGGTCTTTATTTACCTTATCCTCAACACACACTTCTGTCCCAAGTGTGTTTTCTGTGGTCCACTTCTCCGTGAATGTCAGACCATACTCAGCCCATTTGTACTTGGTTTCCAGAGTACCAATGACCTTACTGGTGTCTACGTTAGATGAGCCAGATGTTTTAAATTCCTAAAAGGAGACAAGAGGGTTTTAATGCTGCCTGCAGACAATAAAACATCTTTTCCAGAATGGGATAAAAACTGTCTGACGCCAAACAGATCTCAGGTCAGTTCTTATAATATTCAAAACATAAGCAAATGCAGATAAGGGCTGTCTGAGCTTGGTTTAAATAAGTAACATTATCACACTAAAGTATGACAACAGGAACGGTTTAACTCACCACTCCATTTGAAGACTTGGTCTTCACATCAAGTTTAATCTGCCCAAAGCCTGCAAAGAGAAACAATGAGATAGTTAATCCTGTCCTGGGAAATGCTTTTCAACCAGCACAATTCTTTTCTCCAGATCAGCAAAGAAAAACTGTTCTTAAAAGCTATTTATCTTGTTTCAGTTACCATATCCTTTATTGAAGATGTCCTTTGCTGATTTTCCAAGGTCTGCATATGCTGGAGGAACAGCCATTTTATCTGTAAAACACAGTTTGATGAGCAAAAACGGTTAAGATGATTGAAAGTTTTTGTTTTTTATTACAAAAAGCTATTACCAGGTCAAAATAATCCACTGAAACCTCCACTTGTGACCATTACGTAACATTTCACAAATGTTGCTGTAAAATCAACAGTATTAGAAGAGATTGTTTGTAGTTAAACTGCCAGGATCTTCAACGCGCCCACAGTACATTATTGGTTTTGCCTGACACCTACAGACAAACGAGAGCCAAACAGCCAAGGTTACACCGGAGGCTGCAGCGCTCTACGGACAGCTTACGGGAATATAAAAGGCACACCTAGAGTAAAAGCGTTGCTCAATGTTCGAGTTTAGTTGGATGTAAAAGCAAACGTGACTTCCAGGCACAACGCAGCAGTCTGAGTAACATAGAGGACGCCCTTTAAAGAGAGCTTAAACCAAATACAGAAGGTTGTAGGTTGGGGTTTGACAGTCACTCTCCAGGTAAGACGAGAGTGCATTAACCCGTTACGTTGTTATTAGATAAGGTGTCATACGATTATAAACTCCGTGTGGTAGGGGGCGTTTTACACACGCTAAATGACATTACTGATCACGGCCAAATTTCAAGAAAATCACGCCAACAAACACGGAATTAGAAAATACTTACCGGCTACTTAAAGTATTGCAACTTAAAGAGTCTGAATCCGCGTGGAAAAAACCGGCGTAGGACGATATGAAGGAGACACGCAATAAACGCCCAACTGACCTCAGTGCGTCAGGACCTAGAAATGTAGCTGCGCGCTGAGGTGCCTGACTAAAATTAAAGCGAAACATCAACACTTCAAACATTTATTAACCACTTTAAGCAATGGTTATATAGGTGTAGGCTATAAATGTATTTTCATGATATAAAATGACTCATATTTAAAATAAAATTGTGCTTCGTGTTCACCGGCATGTTAGAGACCTCTATGGAACACCATGGTAACCGATACGCCACTCGTTTGCGCTAATGTAATAATTATTTCAAAAATGTAATAATTCTTCAGATGCTTTGTTTCAGATAGATAGATAGATAGATAGATATCACGTTTCTTGAACAATCAACTAATCTGACAAAAAATACCTCACACGAAAAATAACCCAACAAAACAAATGTGAATAAACCTTTAACCCTCCCACTGTCTTTATGGGTGACCCCGCAAGGAAAGTTGACCAATGAGCAGGGTTGATGGTTTATCCCTTGAGGTTCACGTGGCAGGGGTGAGGTGGTGCTCACTCCTCACCCCTGCCACATGGACCTCAAGGGATAAACCATCAACCCTGCTCAATGGTCAACTTTCCTCGTGGGGTCGCACCCATTAGGACAGTGGGATGGTTAAAAAAAGGGAGCACCATTAATGTCACCAAACATCTTTATGTTAATTTGCTCACATTAATTTGTGAAACTGTTCAAAAAGGTATGAGTGCATTTTTACATTAATTCTAAATACATCTTTCATATTTCCTGATATGCATCTATCAGAAACAAGTTAGTTTCTTCAGCTTTTTAATGAGAAATGTCAGACCAGAAACAAGTAATGTGGCATCAGATGCAACACTGTCCTTGCTTGACCAAAGGAAACATCAGAATGTTTTATCCATTAAGAAGAACCATCTTTCCCACTTGCTGCAATGATCAAAACAATGATCAGATATTAAAGTGGCATCCTCCATTCAATGCAAAGTTCACAACTTATTTTAAAATCAACATAATTAAATAGCACACGGTGTGTGAAATACATAGTTTAAAGCAACTGTAAACATAACTTTTCCATGTGCATGTTGCTGTAACTCTGTATAGGGGGTATAAAAAACTAGAGATTTATAAAATGAAATAAATATAAACAAACATCTTTTAGAGATAGCATTAGGGAGACTTAAGCTTGGTCTGCTAAATTCAGTGCATGGTGATCGCTTTCAGCTACACTTACACACATCCAACAACACTCAAAAGTATCCTAAACATTTCTATGTGGCAAAATCTATCACTGAAAAACTCAAGGTAGTTGGCAGATGAAGTTAAGACAGGTTGAAGGAGAGAAAGTCCAAGTATTTGGCTGATAATGACATTTTCTTCACTTATTCTTAAAAGAAAAACATAATCCAAACAGTCAATGAACTTTGTTAATATTCTATTACTCTGAGATGAAGTTCCGTGAATTATGAGAACACTTTATCTCTCAGCATTTTATAATATAGTGGAAATGCAAATATGACCTAAAGGAAAGAAAAGATAATGACATCTAAGCATCACAAAAACATATTTGTGGTTCAGTGTGATGTAATTCTACACCTACTGTTTATCAGTATGCTAGGAAAGTGACTTCTGATAGTTAAAGCAAATCTTTGCATAATTCTAAATCAAAATTTCAACACGACTGAGTATTTTACCTGTACAAATAAAAGTATTAACATAGGACAAGATTTATTTTGTTGTTGGGAGTTAAGAAATCAGTTCACACAATAAAAAATGACAAAGGGAGAAAATAATATTAAGTGAAATGAATCTCCTCCGGGTCCAGCTTAACACAAAGTTGGAGCTTCTCAGAAACATATGGATGCCAGAAGCCTGCTGGAAAGTAAAGACTCAAAATAAACATAAGAATGTTTTTATTTCTACTCTATCCTTCATTTTTGTAGTTGAGGATGTCACAAACGTCCTCAGTTGGCATCTTCACAAAGCAGGAAAAAAACTAATCTGCAGCTTTTCCTTATCCAATGAGCCTTTTTACTACAGCAGGTCTAGAGAAGGGCCAGCAGTACTCATTGGGGACCGGTCCGTTGACGTTGCACTCAAAGAAAGAGAACATGGGGAACCAGATGCGGGCTCGTCGACTCTGCTGGTACGCCCGGGTGTTGGCTAAAGTGTGGTAATACAGGAAGAGTCTGGTAGTGATGTAGAAGGCTATGAACACATCAATGGAGTAGTGTTCATGTGCAGCCAGGATGAAGAAGATGCCAAAGAGATTGAGGACCCAAGACAGGGTGTGAATGAAGTGCCAGCTCCGTGGAGTGTCTGAGAAAGAGCAAAACACACATCCACTTTATCAGCAAAAGCCACAAAAATGTGCAGATTCACTCACTGTTAACATTATAGGTTCATCATGTAAAACATTAGTTACGCATGCAGCATTAAAAAGAGATTTGGGACGTTTCAGTCAACATTAGTAATTCCAGCAATTGATCTATTTAAATTAGCGTGCTATTAACGGTTTTTACAGAATACAAATCAAATTTACTGAAAACGGTCTGCTGCAACAGATGCCACTCACACTCTGTGACGAAGAAGTTAAGCATGGTCAGGACGACGGTGTGGCCGCTAAACATGTAGTCCCCACAAGTGTGCACTCCTGTCAGGGTCATCCCAAAACCGCTCCAGATGGCTACGGCCCGCTGCAGTTTGGCCCACATGTCACCATACATCTAGAGAAGCAGCGACTGCTCAGTCATGTTGAACAGAACAGCAGGGTGCATATTATGAAGAGTGTGGTTTACCTTCCCCGAGCACTGCAGATGCTGCCCTGGCACTGACAGGGAGGTGACAAACATGGTGATGCAGCGCAGCATGAAAACGGTCCCCATCAGGCTGCACATGCGCCGCAGGAGGATGGACCTGTAGCACAAGAACCAGTTAGCTCAAGTCAGAGCTAATATCCATGTGAGGAAAACACTATTGCAGTCTAAAAATGGTTTTTGATGCGATTATAATAAACAGTGGCAGGACTCCACCTGTGTTTATGTAGCAACAGAACCAGCAGCCAGATGTTACAGAGAATCACCCCACACGCCTCAGCCATGGAGAAGGCCCAAGGTATTCTAGGCACGCTGTTGGAGGAGTAGAAATGATTATTAAATTCTAAACGGTGTCTTCTTTTGAGATAAAAACGAATAGGATTCTTTTCATTTGGGATACTGGCTGGAACATAAAAGCAAATGGGTCATTTTGGGCTCTTTGACGTATTATCGTTATTACTGGTATTATAAGTTGTGTGGGTGACCCCCGCGAGGAAAGTTGACCATTGAGCAGGGTTGATGGTTTATCCCCTGAGGTCCACGTGGCAGGGGTGAGGTGGTGCTCACTCCTCACCCCTGCCACATGGACCCAAGGGATAAACCATCAACCCTGCTCAATGGTCAACTTTCCCGGCGGGGTCACACCCATTAGGACAGTGGGAGGGTTAAAAGGGAAACTAGAAAGCCTATATTGCTACAAATAAATGGATTTTGGATAAATGAATGAGGGTGTCCATCAGAAACATTCTCCATCACAGTCAACATATCTGGAATCACAGTCATGACTTGCACCTTTAAGGCATGTCGCCCCTCTCATTTCAAACACAAATAAATATGGACTAAAGACGCACCAGTTCTGCTTTCAAACACCAACAGGCTTCTGATTCTGGAAGTACTAATTTCCACAAAGAAGATCTGATACTGATAGAATTAATTATTATTTCTGGTGAGTTTACTAACAAGGAAAAGTCAACTTCATTTTATTGCTGCTTAGAAAAATGGTGTGTTCAGGGACCTAAAAAAATACAGATTTTTGAGTTCTAAGATTGGCCGATCACTCATTGGGCAAATATTGTTAGATGCTAATGGATTCTCATCTTCATTTGTTCTGAGAATCTCTATTAAAAATAAACAAACTTCAGAAATTTTCCAAACATTTTTGTTTTCAAAAGTCTCTAAATGACCCATTTTGAGTCCTGCAGTATTTGCTTTAGCAGGAAACAATGCCCCTAGATTACCTACGTTTTTGTAAGATTAGCAACAAAAAGCTAAATTATTAGCCTCAGCTCTTTCTTCTCAACAAATACACAGAAGCAATCCCCTGAAACCAGATCTGCTTTTGAGTTGAGAAATCCCAAGAACAGCTAAAAGCTGCTCAAATGCAACAGGTCATTTCAAACTAGGCCATTAAAAAAACTCATATCTCTTTAAGGCAACATTGGGTCATCAGGGGTGTGAGGATGAAAACAGAAACGTGTTGCAAGGAAAAGGAGCCGTTATAAAGTTCAAACCAAATAACTAGGTGCATTCTTTTTACTCGGTTTCCTGCATTTCAAAGCTGATTCCTGTTATTTTCTGTTTTGTTGTGGTGTGACACGGCTTTAATGTAAAGCCACTAACCTGTCAAGGAAAATGTCTGGCAGTGGAGGGTATGTGCGCATGTCCGGCACCCTTTCGTGCACGATGACCATGACAAAGGATGTGAACCCAAACACAAACACCACATAGACAGAGCTGAGCACTGTTTTCCAGTACTCTGGGTCAAGGCGCCTCATTTGCTGCTTGTATTTCCCATTAGAGTACTGCTGGTACTCCTCTCCCACCGGAGCCGTCTCCATGCTGTCACCATCTCTGCTTGTGTCCCCATTACACAACCAGTCCGAGTTGCTGCCAGAGCTGGAAGGAGAGAGGCCATCGAACGGGACACCGAGCTCCTCCAGCACATCAATGTTCTGTTTCTGCAGTTTCCGGATGGACATCATCAGCCTCTTGATGTCACCCAGAACTTTGAGCTCCAGAGGAGGCGAGCGGAGGTCGTACTCGCTGAGGGCGAGCAGACTGGTGCCATCCAGCCGATGCTTGTTGCACAGCAGGTCCATATAGTCACAAAAACCTTCTTCTTTTAGCCATTTGGCTACGTGCTTGGGCGTCCAGCGACGAATACTCAACTGGGTCATTTCCTCTTCTCTCCAACGGCTTGTGAGAGGAACAGAAATGTGTAAGAATGAGCTCTCTAGTGCAGCAACCAGATTTCACCAACTAAAAGTCAAGAGAGCTTCACTCTTTCTGAATCACAAATCTAACAAGACCATGAAATTAAGAATAAATCCAGTTGCTGACTAAATTAGAAGGTAATAATAAAGAAATGCAGGGAAGATGGACATTCAGCTTCTGCAACAGAATGAGCCAAACACTGGTAGGAATTACCTAAATTATACATGCACTAATGGAAACCACAACACAAACAATGTAAGTGGAGGAGAGAACATAACCATTATCTGGACAGGCAGTAAATAACGGTCTCTACAGCAAAACAACAGATTATTACAGTATAAATTACAGTATCAACTGAACTTTACAATAAGTGTGACTAAAACTCGAGTTCCTGTCTCTAATTAACAATATCATAACGTTACTCTTCGGCTTCACAGACAAGCAAAGCAAGTGTCTAAGCATTTGCCTCGTAAATATCACTCACACATGGTAAACACAGGTAAAGTGGAGGTCAGGGAGGCGACTACTTCACCTGCTTTTCTTACGTTATCATTTCTAACACAAAAAAATAGTCTTATTGGTGATGTGTAAAAACAAATAATCCAAGGTTAAACGCGACACCAAATCAAAGCATCCTATTTTCTGCTCCTTCAGCCCTACAGGAACCCGGTACTTGCTAGCTAGCTGTGAGTAGCTGGAGCCAGACGTGTGTCTTTACTCACCCGGTTTCAGATTAAACTGAAGACAACACGGACTTTTACTCTTTCAGCTCATTAACTAAGCGACATCTCACAAGAATAAGCTGGAAACGTGTCCGCGCAATTTGTAGTGAAAACACGAGGTCGGTGGAAATCATTTCGCGTAAGATTCGCGCAGGTTAGCGACGCTGCTGAAAAGCGGAGCGGAGGCGGTAATTGTCAGAATAGCTGCGCACGTGAAATCTGATGTTTGTTGAAACTAATCAACACCGCCATCTAGTGGCCAAAAATCAATACTGCATTATCTGTTGCTAAATACATGACATTTTTGTTATGTCTGCTGCTGTCTATTTTACATTTACTATAATAAAATACTTTATCTAAAACATAATTTAATTAGGGTGATAATTTATTCAATTATTAATAAAGATTTAATGCAATCTGAAGTTTTCTATGTTTTTCAAATGTGGACGACTATCTTCTGCTTATTAGTCTTTTCAAAAATTATTTTTTTTGTTCATCAACCTCTCTAAACAGTTTTAAAAAGAAAAATAACATTGTATAAAGCAAGACGTGTATATTTTACTATATACCGGAGCTTTTACAGCTTATTCATATTTTAGTTATTTTATTTTAATCAGTAACAGCCGTTAGAAATCCTTATTGTAAAAAACACTTAGATCCTTTAAATTATCTGACACGTATTATGTTGTTATGAAGATTTTACTCGTAGATTTTTTTTTCTAAAGCATCAAAATTAAAGATCACATCTGAGCACCAAATCAAGTAATTCCCAAAGATTTGGAGTTGTAAACATGGCATTTAGAAAGTAGGTCGCTGCTTTATTTCAGAACTCCAGCACCTGTCTTTGTCAGTAAACAGTGTGGCTGCAGTGGAGCCTCAGCGGGGTTCGGAAATACAATTTTAGGAACTAGAGGAATAACTCCGTCAAACGTAAGCTGGAAAATAGCTTTTCATGGGTAAACATGTTTTTCATGTCATAAGAAATGAATAAAAAGCCGGACAGTAATGGGGGTTCTGCTGTAACTCCCTCTTTAAAAGAGCTGCACAAGGTTCTGTATGGAGGTAAAAGATTTGGGAATCATCTGGATGAAGTTTGGCCCAACCTCTTCGTTGGGGATTTGTAAGTCTTGGTCCGTCTGTTTTTCTCTGAGGTATTTTCTGCTATAAAATCAGTTTCTTCCATCCACAGGTCTGTTGCCAATGATCGCTACGCTCTATGGAAGCTGGGAATTACTCATGTTGTGAATGCAGCTCATGGGAGGACATGCTGTCAGGGGAGTCAAGACTTCTATGGACCTTCTGTGGAATATTACGGAGTTCCTGCAGATGACTCACCAACCTTTGACCTTTCTCGCTATTTTTTCCCCACTGCTGAGCGTATTCACAATGCACTTGACACAGATGGTGGTAAATAATCAAGTTGCTTCAGTCATTTGAATTTCTAACATTTTAGACTCAACACAATGTGTTTCCTTTCTCTTTAGCTCGAGTTTTAGTGCACTGTGCAGTCGGGGTGAGTAGGTCCGCCTCTCTTGTCCTGGCTTACCTGATGATCCACCAACACTACGCCCTCTTAGACGCGATCAATAAGGTCAAAGAGTGTAGGTGGATTTTTCCAAACAAAGGATTCCTCAGACAGCTTTGTGCTTTGGACGAGAAGCTGCACAAGAGTTCAGCTCAACAATGAGCTGATCTTTAACTTACAGATCCTCACACATCTGTTTTCTTCCTGAAGATTAATGAAGCTTCGTGTTCCTGCCAGTGGAGGGAGACACTGGTCTTTGACTTTGAGCTGTTTGTTTCAGGAATAGAGCTGAATCATTTACTCCCCTCCCTATCTCTATTTCTATCTGATGCAGTTTGATATTGTAACGTCCAGCAATGGTCAGTTTTTAGGTACAGTTTGACCATTCAACATCTGGTCAAAAAGGAGACGCAAGACTGCATGTGTCCCCTTTATATTGGCCTGCCTTCATCTCATCAGCTGGAGCTCAGAGTCTCTGCAGCTCTGAACACAAATCACGAAATGTCAACAATAATGTTCTCTCCTCAAGGTCCAGTCTTTCAGGTCTTCATACCTCCATATAAGGAACACTCCAGCTCGGATCAGTTGCTCAGTCAAAGAATGATTTCCTAAAAAAAGATATGAACTTCTACAATTTATAAGCTAGATAATCATTAAATAAACATTTGTTTATTGCTACTTATAATAATTATAATATAATGAAACGCTTCATTAATTTGTGCTCAGTGACTGAAGTGTGAAATAAATGTAACGTTATGATTACAGTGATTGAAAAATGTTTCAGCATGTTTACATGGCAAGGTCATCACCACTTACACTCACACAAGGACAAGTACGGTTAAGTTAAACTCTGACACATAAATAGTCTTTTACCCCAGTCAGAGTGTCCGTGTCAAAGAAGGCGTGTTTCTGAGTTGTCTTGGTAACACTTCTCAAACTTGTCAACCTCTGGTTGGCTACACAAATCATAACATAAGAACATCAAAACTGGATCACTCTCGGGTGATTCAGCAGTTCTAGAGAAAGCTTCAGACCGGCCACCTGAAGCAAAACCCTCTTTAACCATCAAAACTTTTGATACGTCATCAAAACCTTTTTGCACCTGCGAAGCTGATACAGCAACAGTTCCTGCAGAACGTGACCCGAGACATCTCTGAGACTGGTTTAGTGGGGCCGCAGTTTCTTCTACGGACCTCTGTGCCAGGAAGTCCGAGGACTTCAACATTCCGGATCTATCACGAGGGTCTTCGAGTGGGTATGTAGACATGACAGACTGCGTCTGATGTGTTTTGGTAACAACCACCTTCATAGCTTAATGCAAACCAAATTCTTTAGCATCCAGAATGCAGCTCTCCTAGATCCAGAAGTTCTGATAACATCGCATTCACACATAGGTTCATACATCACATTTAGTTCCATCCACCACAGTAAATGTTAGTGAACTTGTCATGTTTTAATTGTTGGTCAAATAAATTCTTACTTCTATAAACCTGACTGTTTTCTGAATCAAAACGAAGTATTTACAATCCCTTAATAAATAAAGAATCGTAGAATCTTCTGATTAAGCAACATAAAGACCAAGCAGGTTGATATTCTATATTTAGATAGAGTACCACAGCTTATTGGTCATAAGTAGAGGTAATATATATATATTGAGCTCTTAAAGCACTCAATTTACCAAACCCTACAATATGAATCATGCAGTCTGTTTGCAATTTGATGTTATAAGAAGATGTCTAAAAGGTTATTGTTGTTATGAAAACTCAAATTTATGAGCTAAATTTCTTATTTCATCCTATGAGACATATAATTTTGCAGCCATTTTCTCTTAAACCTAACAGTATTGTCATGATCTGCCCCGGCCTCCCTGACTGTGTCGCTCCTGCCTTGATTAGTCCTATTGTTCTCACCTGCCCCTCGTTAATATGCCCATGTGTTCCTAATTATCCCTGTGTATTTATACCTCCCGTCTTGAACTTGTCTTTGTTGGATCATTGAATGTGCATGTCCTCGTTTTGTCCTGTCGCTCCGTTACCATTAAATCCATTTTTATTTCATCTGTGCCTGCTCTCCTGCCTCCGGAACTTACACCTCACATGGTCTGCCATCTCCACCCTCACCAACATGACAGGTAAAAATAATACAAAGCTTCCTGACCAGAAAAAAAGACAAACTGAGACATTCTGATAAATCTGAGTCTCACATCAGGTTAATGCAACTTTAAAAGGGACATATAATGACTTTTTATTGTTATAATAATTTTATGGTCAATATAAGTTATATTTATTAAGATTTTTGCACTAAATCTCTCTAACAAAAAGCAATTTCAGCAGTTTATTCTTGACAGTTTAAGTATCTTCCAGAATGAGCCGTTTCAGGGCTCTGTCACTTTAAGAAAACAAGGAGCTGGCTACGCCCACACGGCCCCCCACACTTGGGCCGATAAAAGGTGAGAAGCTCTGATATCTGGGAGGGGTTGAGTAGAGTCACTCCTACTCCAGCTATTATAATTTCCCTGTTTGTGACATCACAAATGGGGACCTTTGAAATGGTTGGTTTTACTCACATAATTCCTAAAAACCAAACACTGACAGAAAACGGACAAATTAATTTTTTTCTTGTTTGGAGTCAGAAACAGTAGAAACTCATGTAGAAACAAAAAAATGCAAAGGGTGAGTTTTGCATAATATGACCCCTTTACTAATTAAACAAAACAGCCCATAATACAATGTGCAATTATATTTTCTAAATAAACTAAAACTAGATTGTGGAAGCTGTGAAATTATTAACATAATACACCCCAACAGCTCCCATGAGAGGGAAAGTAAGAACCAGGTGCTGCTTATCAAAATCAACCTAATTAGCTGATTATTAGCATCATTTCAAAAGCTGCAGATCTGGAGGCTAATTTAGAAGTGGCACATTTAGAATATGAATGTAATTAAGCAATAATGTCATGAACTAAAATGTTGTGTCCCATCTACATTTATAGAGTTTATTTAGAAAGTGTCATTCTGCATTGAGAAATATGCAGAAGATTGTGCAGTAAAATATTATTTGGACGAAACAATGAAACAAGAAAGTAAATCTAAAAATCTGGCTCAAGCCAGAAAATAATGAATGTGATCTTTGATTTAGATTCTGTTCCTCCTAAATCATATGCTTTATTTGACACATGTTGATTCCTTTTCTATTTGGTTTGTATGCAGAAAATGCACTTTTTTATGTGATGCTTTGCAGGTTTGTCATATTTTGAAATACATTTTTTGAGCCAGTATGTGCTAAAATGACCCTTTACAGGATTAATGAGAGGCCACCCAGCCCCTGTCGCCCTTGTGACCATTATGTAGACCTTGCAACTTCAGAGTGGCATGCTGCTTTGTAGGGACTTAGAAAGAAATTGAGCTGACATACCTGGCGCTGCAGTCTGCTTCCAGCACATTTCCTGCATGTTTTAAATCACGAACACAGCTGATTTGTTGAATTTAGTGATGAATAACTCCTGTACACACTAACAAGGGCTGGGGAGACATTTCAGCTGTTAGATTAAGGTGTTAAAAAGACAAAAGCACAGCGAGGAGGTTTTGCTTTTGGCTCTACAAACGGACACTAGGGGGTGATAAAGGCAAGCCAAAACTGCCTAGTTCCCCTTTAAAGATAAAATAATGTTTCACCATGAGTTAAATTTTCATAATGTTCTCCAAATCTCTAAATCTTTTGTTTACTTTTTGTTTTTTGTTGAACTTTTGTAAAAAAGCATATTTGTAGTTTACAGGACCAGATTTTGCATTAAATTCCAAAAAAGGTCAAAAACATTCAAGCCTAATCTAGTGCTTCTGATGGGTGGCTCAAAAATAATCTCATGAAAATGTGACAAAATGTTATTCAGGTTTTACATGATGTGTCCAAAATTGTTCACAAGTAATTTTATTCAAAACACAGAGGAAAGAGACTCAAGTTGCACCACAAACACTTGAGAACAAAATCTAATTGTATTTTGTTTGTTGTCTGCGAAACTCACAACTGATCTTGTTTCTGAGAAATGTTTATGTAACATCGACCAGAACAAAAGTCCCCCCAGCTTCATTTTTACCCCAACAGTCATAAAACACGTTTAACCTATAGTTTCATGCTTCAGTCGGGATTTGTCTCACTGAGCATGAAGCTTCTTAAATAACCAGTCGATAATTTCTCCAAGACAAAAAATGACCTGCAGATATGTATTGACTGATTTTTACATAAAGCATTTTACACACAAGTTCACAGCCTGACAGGAGAAAAGTTAAGCGATGTGCCATGATGCCAAAGTGAAGATTTCTCTTTTGGTTTTTAAGCTTTCATGGCAGAAGTTTGACCTGCAACATGGTAAGCTCTTTAAAGCCCCGAGCAGCCAACAGCAACTCATGTTTCCTTTTTTTTAACCCAATTTGCCCTCACAAGATGTTTATGTCAGGGCAGTAAATGAGCCACACAAAGCCACTAGAGCATTTCTGTTGCACATATACTGAGTTATATCCAGCATAAGCGGTGCACTTTAACAATTCCACCATAATTACGTCCAATTATCACTGCTTTATAGAACGATTCATCACAGTTTGAGGTTTAATAAACAAGAATCCCACAGCAGAGGGGAAAGCAGACCCCACGCTGCAACAGTTGTTGTTCTGCCCTCCGTGTGCGTAAGACTACACGCTAGGTTAGGCACCAAATTGGGTAGCTGTCCAGTGACAGCACCTGCTCGCACTGATCATCTGGAGCTGAAGAAAGGCTGCTTTGACACCACAAACATTTTGGCTATAAATCGATTCGAGACAAGAGATTTGGACTTAAAAATGCCGACCCAGAAAGACAAGAGAAAAGAGTATCTAACTGTGAAAGACCTGCAGAAGGTTTTGGACTCTTGTAAGCTGCACCTCAATCAGATTGATGAAGTGTGGCCAAACATCTACATAGGAAATGTGTAAGTATGAGTTTGACTTCAGATTTAACACAAACGCTGTGTAGTTACAGGGAACTTTTAGTGTTTAAAGACCAAGTTCACTCATTCTTTAAACACATTTGTGGTCTCTAGTAAAAATTGATGCCTTGTGATTCGACCTCAGTGGGAACAAAAGCTCCGGCGCTCCTGTTTCTGGAAGTAGAAGTTAGCTGGAGAAGAAGGGGGCAGAAGACGACAGGATTTAGAGTCTAATTTCCTGATATTCAGACTTCTCGCCTCTGATTGGCTGACAGCAGCGACGAATCCATTTGCTTTGCAACATGATGTTTTATCTCCATAAATAACACAAGCCTGAAGGAGTTCTGCTGCATTGTGAAGTTGCTAATGCTAACAGTTAGCTTCTACTAGCCAAGACGTGCTCTACTCTCTCCTGGACGCTAATTCAATAACAGAATTCCACATCACAAGCCCAGATGGGTGAGTCCATGAATGTTAAATTACAGTGTGGCGTACATCTGGCTAACCTTTCTGATCTGAGCTATTTCCTTTGGCAGCTAATGCAGGAAATAGGGGTAGAAGACAATTTTCCCGTTCAGCCTGCACGTGAAATTCATACTGACTGATTACATTAAAGGAGTCATCACATGTTACTACTGTGGATTTCTACATCATATTATAGTCTTTTGGGTCATGAAAATTATTTGTATTGGAAAAATAAAATAAAAAGTGCTTTTCTGGCCCTTTTTTGATGTTTTCTCACAAGGGCACACACACTTTTTCTGCCGCATACACAGTAGAGTATTCAGACTTCTGCCTTACCGTTTGAATTTCAGGCACGTTTCTCAGTGTTGGAATGGCCGCTCTTTTTAGACAAACCCTTGATGCCATCTTCGCCTGATATTGCCCCAAATTTATAAAGCATTGTGGCTTCAAATGGTTAGCGCAGACACCGAGATTAGTGGGGAGAGTTTCGGGAACAGCACAGTTCAAAATAAAATAAATCCACTGGTCCATTTTTGGTAAAACAAACACGTTTATGTGTGGAGTTTGGCAGTCAACAACTGAGCCGCTCACATGTGAAACTCGCGCCGACATTTTTTGTTCTCCCGATTTCAGTAATGCCTTATTGTGACGACATCAAGGCCAGAACTCAAGGACTTGTTTGGGAGTGCGCATGTTCGTGGGGTGCACGTGGGCTGGTTGAAGAAGCCACGAGTTAAAAACAATCCAATGATAAATACCGGCTTCCCGGCTAGTGAAAAATCATTAGGAAGCCATTATATACATTTTTTCATGTAAAAAAGTGAAAATTTCAAGTGATGATTCCTTTTAAAAAAAACAAGTAAAAAGAATTTCTCAGTGAACTTGGCCTTTAACTGTTTCCAAAAGCTGTTACGAAGTGCTCCTTCCACACACTGAATCACTCTGACATAAAATGATTCTGCTGTGACGCTTCATGCAAGTCTTGAACCTCTTTCTGTCTCTTTGTCTCGCTAGGGCAGTAGCCCAAAACAAGGCTGCCCTGCTGAAATTAGGTATAACTCATGTGTTAAACGCTGCTCACTCCAAGCGAGGCAGCATAGGGAACCACAGCTTTTATGGCAACGACTTTGTGTATTTTGGCATTCCAGCAGATGACTCAACTCACTTTGATCTGGATGTTTACTTCCAGCCTGCAGCAGATTTCATTCACAAAGCTCTGAAGTCACCTGGTGGTAAGAACCGCTACAGTTTTCCCTCTTATTTTCAAATCCCCACTCATAACATCTTTTATTTTATTTCACTCCTAATGGAGCCAACCATTCGCTCCAGTTCTCACATTGTGCTGCTCTTTCAATGTCACCTGTCACCACAACGTAGCACAGCTCGTACCGCTATGGAAATGTTCTTTCAGTGTTAGTAATAATAGGAATATTCCCTTGCAGAACTTAAATAATGTAATAGCTTCTTTCAAAGGAGCTAACAAAGAGAAGACGAGCTGGGATTAAAAAGACAGCCAACCCGTCTGCAAACAGGGCACAAAATGAACAAGAAGGAGGAATTGTTGTTTCTATTTTTAGCTCAAAACAGCACACACACAAAAAAAAGAAAATCCAAAATGTGACAAGGGGCAGCCATGTATGATATTAATACAGCTTTCTCTAATCCTTCCCTCATACCTCTTTCTTCCTTCGTGCTCTTCAGGGAAGGTTCTGGTGCACTGCATCATGGGAATGAGTCGCTCGTCGACCTTGGTGCTGGCCTACCTCATGATCTACCATCACCTTCCGCTCAAACAGGCTTTGCAGAAGCTGATCCAGAGGAGGGCCATCTATCCAAACAGGAATTTCCTGGCTTTGCTGCTGGATCTGGATCTTCAGCTGACAAAGAAAAAGAAATCGTGCCAGATTCTGTAATCCAGTCCGGAGGTGTTCAGACTTCTCACCCTCACAGCGGTAGGGTTCTTAGCAGCTTGTTGGCCCAGCGGTCCAAACTGGGATGTTTCCATAGAAAAGCTGCTGTCAACAAGTGACAGAATGTTCACAAGACTTGGTTTAACAAGACAAAGTCAGTGGGGCGAAGGAGACTGTTTCTACCAGAATGTTGTGCAGTAGCATTGTCTTAGATTTAATTTTATTGCATTTACCTGAACCTAATATGTACATGAGTTTGTGATAAAGATTCTGACCCAGTCAAGTTTCATTTGCTGTTTTTTGCAACTCCTTTGAAGTCTGGAATGAATTTTCCACAAGCCTTTAATTGCAGCACTCTGTTCAACCGCTTCAGGTCAGTTTTGACCCTGTGCCATGATACTGCCACCACTGTGCAACTGAAATGGTGTTAGAAGAAAATGCAGCAAAGATTTTGGTATTTTTAGAGCTGTCGTCTTACAGTTGTAGCTTTAGATGCTTGACTGAAGGTCTAGATGTGTGGCGTGATAATATGTTTGGGTGTTTTTATCTCAAATGAACACCAAGCATTGAGTTCTTTATAAAACATGTTAGTTAGGGCTCACATGTGATTCATTTAGAGGCTGAAAATGAGAAGATATTTCTTTAAAGACAGATTGTTTATGTCATGGTTCACATGGTAATGTAATTCAGTCATTGTTGCCAAAGGAAGATTTCTCAATGACTTCCTAAAGAGAACAGATGTGAATGTGAAAGGAGACTTTACACCTGTTAGCTCATTCAACAGCTTCAGTTAATTTAAATAAACACATTTTCTGTTTTATTTTTTCAGAAAAGGTAAATTAAAGGTGTATAATGTGAGAACGAGGAAGGAGTGACATGTGGTCAGATGTAGGTACTGCAGCCTATATTTTGAAAACACACCAGTCACTTTTTCACTACTGTTCCATGAGTTTTGTGGCCAGTTACGGATCAGAACCAGAAGATTCTAGATGAGTGAAGAAGAGTCAGTTGGTAAGTAAACACATGTCACTGTCATATCGAGTTGTTGGTAATTGAAAATGTAGCTTCAGGTATTTTTAGAGCCAACTATTTGCTTCTAACTCACCTTTAGCATTGTTAGCAATGTTAGCCTCTAGCCTGCTAAAGTAAAACAAAAACATGCTGTGGCTTCTTAGGGGTACAAGAAATAACTTTTGCGCCACTTATGTTTACTGACTTTGGATCTTTACATAACGTTTCTGCGTTTTGCTGACTGGTGACGAATTACAAATGCCAGAGCTGTAGCGCTGACTCTGCGACCGACTCGGCTCACATGTTGTAAACAAAGACTATGGCCCTCTTTGACCTTTTTGAAAGGAGAAAAACTGACAACCCCCATGCAGTCGGCTGAGAAGGAAATCTGTTTAAATGCAACCTTCCTTCTTTCCTTCATGACAGAAAAATTAGACTGTTTTGTGATCATTTCACTGTTAAATCCTTACATATTGTACCTTTAACTGGAAACTGCTTGGCCATGATGAACTTACTTACTTACTGCAAATCTTAATAAAGCGTTAGACAAAGATGAATATTAACACAATGACTTCAGTTATTGATGTAGACTTTTTTTTAAATTGTGACCAAATGTAGATTTGTCAGCTACATCAAAGTAAACGTGTAAGAAAAGGACTCACTGGTCACACACAGAGCCCACATGTATAGTTAAAAGTACAAAGACAATTTAATTTATGTTCCCATGAGGTCATTTTTCAAAATGTAACTTCAGCCAGCTGTGGACAGATTCATAAAGTTTTGTAACCAAAAGACTTTAAAAATGTCTAATTATTAGATTAAAGGTAGCAATTACTGCTACTTAAAGTTTTATGACGTTTTTATTTTTAAGTAAGGTAAAAATACGTTTTCATCAGTATTTATCACAACAGAATGAACCAAATTTATTATGAATTGTGTTTTTTTAAGTGTTTTATATTAGTAAACTTTTTGGACTCTAGAAAATTAATAATAAACAATCAATAACTTCTGTCCAAAACATCGTTGTTCAGATTGTGAATGGTCTTGGATGACTGGCTCACTGCTGCGCATCAAAAGCTTTTAAAGTTCATCGAAAAACTCCAAACATCATGATAAAGAAACAGCTCCAGAGGAGTAAACATAATCATGTCTTTCTGTGGACAGGAACAACGTTTCTAAACACAAATTGTGTCACTCAATATTTCATTTGCAGACAAAGATTTAGCAGTAAAATCAAACACCTGCAATCAGACGTTTTTGGTGTTTGTAGACACGTTCTTCTTCTTTTGTGCTTTTATTCAAGACTAATCAGTACCGTTGCATAAAAGATGTTTTGTTTTTGATGGAGAAAAAAATCATTAAAAGATCTTGATGTTTTTTTTAAAAAGGTGGAAAGGAGGCTTTGTTCACGATCAGACGGCAGTGTGCTGTTAAAAACATTTCACCGCAGACAGAAACAACACCAAAGAGAGTCAGAAATCTGAAGCATGGCAGCACTGATCTCATTTTCTTGCTATTAAAAAAGAAGCTGTGTCCTCTCCCCCCTTCTGTCCTGGCAGCTTGTGTAACCTTTAAGGAATGCAGAAGATGCTGCCAGAATTATTTTGGGCTGTGATTCAGATGTTAAAATAGCAAAAAAGGTTGCAGGGTAGATTACCGAGGAGAACGCAGACAGTTGTGCTGTCGACCTAGATGTAGCTCCTGAATTGAGAGACGATGAAAAGCAGCAATTTCAGCCAAGACAAGCGTCTGCAAACACATTTACTGCAGATATGGTGAGTTGGAAGACATTTATCGCTGTCTACCGTATAGAAGTGATTGCTTTTATCATATTTGCAAGTCAAACTGTGACAAATTATTGTTCAAATCTATGTTTGCTGCATTTCCTAAAGGTTGTTGTACTTTCTTTCAATTATTTGCCCAACAAATGTAGACGAAGCACATCTAAAAGGCTGAAAAGGAAAGCGTAAGTCATAACCACCGAGAAGAAGGCCTGAGGAGGTAAAAAAAAAGACATTTCACTTGCCCTCCGTGTTAACTGCAGGCATTTTCCCATACAAAGTATCTTTAATTACACAAAAGTGGAGCAGAAAGGACAGGTTAGCCTGAGGGGGAAGGCGGGGAAAGCAGAGTATATGCACCAGGGAAATCAGTTCTCTGCCCCCGATGGTGGGAGAGGAGGGAGGGAAGAGCTGAACCTCTAGATCAATGAGGAGAAAGAAAAGCCTCCAGGTATGGGCTGCTGTTGTGTAAAGATGCACTTCACCCTGCCTCCCAGTGCTCACACACTCACGGAGCACCGACTGGGTCATTTGCAGCTTTACCTCTAAAGTGACACGCTCAACAATCAGAAGCAGAGATGGATGAAGCCATCGTGATCTGCACTTCCGTGTGCCACAGCAGAACAGCAAAAGGTCACTGGAACACATTCTGGTCTCAGTGACTCATCTCTAACAAAATCTCCAAACCCTGAAAGCCACAGGAAGAATCTAAAAGAGACGCCGGAACAATGAATACACATCAGCTGAGAACCCTGAGCCTGGAGCACAGTAACACACATACATAAATGGATGTTATTGTAAACAGTATGTATAGTGAAAGTGGAGGCAAAGCGGGGTGTGAGTTGTAAAGTTGCAGATTAGACTCAGTGAACAGAAGGGAAAAGCTTTTCACAGACCTTGAATACCAATTTTCTGCATCTCTGGAGAATAACTCTTCCAAGAGCTGCTGAATTTTAAATAAAATAAAGAGCATTATTGGGTCATGTTATAATTATGTGATCGTGTGCAAGTGTGAAGTGTATTTATTATAAACAGCCAGTGCGTTTAAACCTCCCTGTAACTCTTGGTGTTACTATATAATAGAAGTTTTTATTTACAACTTTAAAACCATTTACAAGAAAAGAAGGAGATGCATGAAATAGCATCCTCGTTGTTTAAAAAACAGATTTGTGCTCTCACATTCTTTTTGTTATTTATGTAAAATATAGTTTACAGTTCATTTTTTCTTTTTATGAAATTCAAAAAGTTCTAATTAGATTGAATTAATTCAGCTATAGCTCAGTGTTCCCAAATAAGTAATTTCAGAGCACTTTGCAGGAGAATAAACACGGCTAATTAAAACCTAGTTATAAATAATGAGGGAATCAAATGCACTCAAACAATAATCTGATCTAAAATAATTCAACTGCGTGTATTAATACACTAAAAAACATTACTTATTAACTGAAAGCATAAACTGAAGTTATGGCTAACTCAACGTAATATTTTTAAAGTACTTTCTGACAGCTGGGTCAGAAGGATTCTTACTGAGTTGGTTATTTTTCTTTGTATAAATTTATTTGTTTATTCTGACGGTGGTTTGTTTAAAATCTCTCAGCTTTTTATCCAGAACAATCAAAAAGATTGAAAGTGATAAGATTAAACCAAGTGAACTATTTCTAACAAATACTTTAAAATAAGTCCAACCACTACAAACAAATACATTTGTAAATTAATTAAAAGTGTGGCACGCTGAAATAAAAACTTAATGATTGTTTCTGATTATAATCGTTCACTCTGAGGTTTTTATGCAGACTGAAGATGAAAATAGTCTCCTACGTCTATCTCCTGCATTAGCTTCTAGTAGAAAATAGAGGGTGAAATTCTAGGATTTCAAAAGCCTGACAGATCTATGTCACACTGTTAGTATTCACATGGACGGGGAAGGCTGTTGTTGGTTTAGCGTCCAGTAAACAGTTGAGAACATTGCAGCTAGCTGTTAACATCTGCAATTGCACCACACAGCAGAACTCCTTCAGGGTTGTGGTATTTGTGGAGATAAAACTTCAACGTTGTAAAGCAAACTGAGTTAGTGGTAGAGTTGCATTGCTGTTATCCATCCTGGGGCGAGATGTCCAAATATCAGGAAATAAGACTCCAAATCCTGTCGTTTGAAGCTCAGCTCTGATATGGCTCACTTCTAGTTCCTGGAACTGGTGCACCAGAGCTTTTTTCCCCAAGAGTATGATTTATGACTCCTACTAGAGACCACTGCAAATGTGTTGAAATAAACGAATGAACCACACCTTTAAGCCCTCGACCCAACCAAATATTTACTGCTAAAGCAAATGTTTTGCTATGATGCTTTGTTCATACCTGGGACTGGTTTGTGTCCTGGATGATCCAATCCCACAAATCCCACTAAACAGGGGTCTGAATGGATTAAAGATAAACCAAGGATTAGCTCAGAGATGATTGCTCAGATCATATCCAGATGTGGTTGTGCCCTAAATCCTGAGAACATGAATATGTCCTCCTGGGCCACCCTGACCATCTACTCACCTGACCAGAGTCAACACAAGCAGTTCTTAACAGCTTAATTGTTGTGTTAGGTCAGAGACAGATGTAATCTGGAGGAAGGAGTATTTTAAAGACCAAGTTAACTGAGAAACTAGTCATTTTTTAAACATGATAGGTCACTCTGAGTTTCCAGTGCAGGCTGAATGTGAAAATAGTCTTCTACCACCATTTCCTGCATTAGTTGCTGATAAAAAAAAAACAGGGAAACGCTCAGGTTAGAAAAGCCAGTCAGACCTATGTCACACTGAGCATCAGCACTCATGGATTCACCCAACTTGGGTCCAGGAAACAGCAAAGAATATCTTTGCTAGCAGAAGCTAACAGTTAGCATTAGCAACTCCCCCACACAGCAGAACTCTTTCAGGATTGTTTTATTTGTGGAGTCAATGTTGCAGAGCAAACTCAGTCAGTGGTAGAGTCACATTGCAGTTAGTCAGAGGTGAGATGCCCAAATATCAGGAAATAAGACTCCTGTTGTCTTCTGCACCAGCTAACTTCTACCTTAGGTAACGAGCGTCAGATCTTTTTCCCCACAGAGATCGACTCACAAGACATCCATTTATTTTAGAGATCACTGCAAATGTGTTGAAATATCAAGTGAAATTGATGTTTAAAGCCATTTTCATAAATGATGGTAGGATGGTGCAGGAAATCGACCAGTGGATGAGGGCTTCATCTGCAGTCAGGAGGAGGTTACTCTGATCTGATGTGGTGAAGGAGGTGAGCCAAAACACAGAGCTCTGGATTCTGTCTCACGTCTGGTCATGATAATTGGATCATGAGTCACATAAGATCCTGGAGACAAGAGACTGAATGGGCTGGTTCAATCCTTAAATAAAGGGTGAGGTGCTCCATCACCTGGGAGGAACTTGGAGTACAGCCACTGCACCTCATCGATACAAAAAAGTGAGCTGAGGTGGTTTAAGCATCTAAATACAAAGCATCCTTGTTGGTCAATTACAGGTCAGTTACACCCTGCTGCAGACACAGAACTCGCTGGAGGGATTATTTGTCTTCTCTGGCCTGGGAACATCTTGGGATCCTCAAGGGAGAGCTGGAGAGTGTCTGTGGAGCATGGGGACATCTGGTTTTATTGGCAGAAAGTGGATGTTTTAGAACTCCTTTGTAATTTCTTTCAAACTGAATTGTAGTTGTTCAGAGTACTGCCATAAGTCCTTGTCATTTTCCTCCTTGTGGTGATTTAATAGACTGATATGAAATGTTAGCCACTTCAAAACAGACACTTTTATTCAGGGCCTCCTTCATGTCCACACCCCCCCCCCCCCCCCCCCCCCCCCAAGGCCCTGTGCCCTAAAGGCATGCTCAGTAATCCCTGCATGCCTCTCACAGCCCTTGTGGTACAAAGTTTGTATTAATAACCAGCCTGTTATCCATGTTGTAGAAGCAGAAGTGGAGCATCCAGACATGCCCAGAGGTCTCAGCTGCCTGGCGAGCCCTGAGGTGCAAGAGGCCAAATATGAGACCCCCTCACTGTCAGAGCTGCACAGACTGATGTGGACAAAGAAAGGGACCAACAACCACATGGATGAGGTTCATCCTAGGATTTATATTGGCAACATGTGAGAACTAATTAAATGTCCCATCATTAATGACTGAAAACTATTTATGAGCATTCCCTGTTTACAGTGTTGGACATTTTTCCTTTGTAGGTACGCAGCCAAAGACAAAAGGACACTCCAGGCTCACAACATTACTCATGTGCTCAATGCAGCTGACGGGAAATTCAACGTAAACACAGGGCCTAGCTTCTATAGAGACACCAGCATTACTTACCACGGAGTGGAAGCTTTTGACATGCCATCGTTTGACTTGAGTCCCTTCTTTTACCCGGCAGCCAATTTCATCAAGAAGGCTCTGAGCTCGCCAACAGGTGATGCTCACAGGGTTTCGCCACATCTTTTTCACACGTTAACTTGAGGAAGACAAGGCACAGAATGCAGAAACGTGTGTCAGTCAATTTTCATTACAGCATCCCCCACCCCCACCCTTCCAGTTGTATTACTCATTATAATGCAAATCAAACACTAAACAGAATATCAAGCTAATATCTTCCCCCTGCGGTGGTCTCCTCACATAAGCTCAGACCTTTGTCAGGAAAATTAGTTTTAAATGGATTGCTGTGGTAATTTGTAAGCTACACTTTCATTGGACATGGAAATTACAGAATTATGTTTGTGGCCTGTGCCTGCACGGCCTGTTATGCAAAGTGAAGTCAGTATCAGACATGACAGATGAGGCCTCCTTCTTCATGCGCTGGCTGATCGGGGGCTCCAGCGTGTGGCGGGTTGGGGGGGGGGGGGGGGGGGGGGGTCTGCGTTAATCCCCAGCAGAAATACACAGAAGCCAAGACAGTTCAATTACTCGCTCCTGTGCTCCCTAATCCCCAAGCTTGATAAGAAACCAGGGATTAACGTGTGTAGAAACATTTGTTGCAACATTGTTAAAAACTTTCATTCTAGGGTCAGAAGGACTTTTCTTTTCTGTAATGTTTATGGTTTTTAATCCTCAGAGGAGTCACAAATTGGACATTTAGAATAATGTTTTAGACGATAATCCATTGATTGAATGGTTTTAATGTTGAAATGGAACCGGTGGGGTGGTCGAGCTCTGAAATCAGCCACAGAAGATGTGTTTTTGTTTGTGATGATTTGCAGGTAACGTGTTTGTCCATTGTGCCATGGGGCTCAGCCGTTCATCCACTCTGGTTCTGGCCTACCTGATGATCCATGAGAACATGACCCTGGCAGACGCCATTACGACAGTCAGCGCCAACAGGAACGTTTCACCTAATGAGGGGTTTTTGGAGCAGCTCAGGCGGTTGGACAGGAAGCTGCACTGCCATTAAGCAGCTGGTGCATCAGTGCTGCTCAAATCTTGTAACAATGAAGATGTCAATGGAAAATCTCTTTATTGTCCTTTTGATACATATTTTTGTTTAAAGATTAAAGGAAATGCTTTAAATAAAAAAAACTTTATAAAATCTGATTTCTTTAAAGAAATGTTTTCAAGATCGATACCAGGACTGGAGAACAGCAAGAGAACAACTGAAGGGCTTTTGATTGGAGTCGAGTCAGCAGATCCAGATGCAGGTCGGCAGTCAGGAGACTTGAAGCATCGGGTTGAATCATATATTGTTTTGTTTGGAATAGCTTTGTATCGTTATCCAGTGTTGTATCCTCTTCAGAAGATGAGTTTATCACCTTTTTATTACTCCAGTCAGTGTTCTTTGTTTAGGTTTATTTATTATTTATTTCAGTTCATCTTGCATCGTTACTCATCGTCTCCTTTACCTATGCTTCAGCTCATCTCACACCAGCTCACTAATCATCCTCTCCACTACAACCAGTTTCTGCTCACCCATTGTCACGGTTTGATTCTCATTAAAGTTTTGATTTCTTCCACAAGCTCCTCTTGCCCTGTCTGCAGCCCTCTCTACACCATCAGTATAGATAATTATAAAGCATGTTAGAATAATCTAGCATATTATATCACTGTTCAGAAATACAGAATACATCACAATTATTAAAAAAAAATAGTATATTTTTATAAAAACAGATTACTGTGGAATATTTTTGAAAACCTACTGAACAATAAATACCATTTCTGATCAAATATAAATTATTAGAATATTTTATATTTGAGGATCTGCCTCATAAACATCTTCCTCCTCTTCATCTTCATCATCACTGATGGCGAGATTGGTTGGCACAATAACTGTCCTTCTCCATTTCCCAGAGAAATCTTTGTTTAAAACTGCAAAATAAATTCAATATCATTGTTATAATTACTGTTACCATGAATTAACATATTCAATTCAATTCAAATTCAAAGATACTTTATTCATCCCAGAGGGAAATATTAACAGATTTTACCTAAAAATATTTGTAATTTCTTTTACTTGTTCAGGGAATATGATCAAATATGGCAGATTTGATTTTCATGCTAAGAATTCGCCAACTTCATTGAGTTTAACATTTACATCACATTTATTCTTATTTAGCACAACTAGTCTACTTTGTGATGTGAGTTTCATAAAGCAAGCATTGTTAGTTATAGAGATCTGACCGTAAACACGAGGAGACCGAGCAGTTTTCTGGCTCTGCAGAACCACCAATATTTGGCACCTTATAGCCTGGCACTGATTGGTGGAATGGCGCCATGGTGCAAACCGTGACTAGCTTGATCTCTGATGATTGTTTGGGTAAAATCCCATAATTCTAAGAGTTTGTGAAAAGGCACACCGACATCATTTATGATGCAAGTGGAAGTGTCTAAATATAGACGTTGGCTCTATAAAGGGTTAAGAATCGGGAAATCCGCTCGCACCAGGACGGAATTGTGAGTATTGGGAATGGGCCTAAATTACATAAATCAGCTGTGTTCATGATCTAAAACATGCAGGAAAGGTGCTGAAAGCAGACTGCAGTGCCAGGTATGTCAGCTCAATTTATTTTAAATCCAACAGGGGGCAGCCTACCACTCCGAAGTTGCAAGTGCGATATTCTCTCTAAACAATGTGGTAGGGGTCTGATTGACATTTCATTAACCTTGTAAAAGATCATTTTAGCCATACTGGCTCAAAAATGATTAAAAAACATCAAAACTTGCATTTGTCGTTAACTTTTACTGATACAATGTTTTTACCTCTGTAACTCCACAAAAACATTTTAAGAAGTCCTTGGAGGATTGCCCACTTGATATCCTCAGAAGGTTTCTGTTTGTCTGTTTACCTAGCAAGAAGGTTACAGGTTCCAATCCCATCTGTGCACAGACCAAAAACACACGTTAGGTTAATTGGAGCCACTAAATTGTAGTGTATGACTGGTTGTTTGTCTCTTTGTGTCCCTGTAATGGACTGGTGACTTGTCCAGAATGCCCCCCGCTTCTCATCCTCTGGATGCTGAAGGTTGGAACCAGCTCCCCTCGACCCTGTGGAGGAACAAGCGGTTAGGAAAAGTGAATTTATCAGGGATTAGGCACACAAATGTTTCTCTGACACACAGTTGCAGATTTTGCCAATTTCCATCTGTGGTCTGATTCACAAAGTCACCTTCAAAAGAACTGTTATCAAATATGCACTGAGGGTTTTGCACAGTTCATTCCGTGTTCCGCAAAAATAACTTTGAAGGTCTACAGGTGATTCTGCAAACTCCTTAGACCCAAGTCCATCCTCAGATTGCATGTCAGAAGCCAGCTAGATCTGTGGAAGTGTTTTCCTAATGCTCTCTGAGTCCAAATAGGTTCAGGACTGAAATGTGACAGGCTTTACTTGTTGGTCTGAAAGCAACAACTTTTCTGAACTCGCTGCAGAAACAGGTTAATCATCTCACCGTGGCTGGCTTCAGGTGGAAAACAGCTTTTTTTTTCTCTCACAACAACAGCGTTCATTTGATTTGTCAGCCTCAGACATCTCTCCAGAGAGTAACGTGTGTTTAACAGAGAATGATTGTCCTCAAACTCACAGCACCTCAATGAAAATGTCCCAGGAAATAAAAACAGCACTGATGGTAAATATAACAACAGACCATAAACGTGTGGATATAATCACTCAGAGTTGGTATTCTTGGCTGTAGATGGTTTAGCATCATTAGATGGTTTGTTGTTTGATGGTTTTGAGTAGAGAAGCGTCTTTCCCTCATCGGATCGTAAAGTTTTCCAACTCTCAGTTGCATATTAAGTTGAATATAAATCGTGATAATTATATAACAACTCTAAGGTGAGAGTGAGCCGAGGATGTGAGGTCAGAGGAGGAGTCAGAGTATCAGACACCACCCACCTGCGATCTGCTCAGCCTTCTGCTGAAGAACAGGCACCCCATCGGAGCTGTCAGCGAGGTTTGGCCCAACCTCTTCGTCGGAGATGCGTAAGTGACAATCTCACTTTGGGGCCCTGCTGCAATGTGGTGAAACTGTTGCTGCAAACAAGTGGCATAGTTGGCCAAATATAAAATCTGTACATTTGAGTCATGCATGATGCATTTTGCAGGCATCTGCCTCCAAAGATGGCACCAGGCAAGAAAAACTGCTAAACATGGATGTTCTTCTATCATTTCTCATGTTTTTCACAGGGCGACAGCTCAGGATAAAACAGAATCTGGAAATAACATGTGGTGAATGCTGCAGATGGCCCGCAGCACATCGACACTGGGCTTCGTTTCTACAGAAACACAAACATGGTGGATGATGGAATTCAAGCTCCAGACTGCAGAGATCTCCACTTGAGTCCATTCTTTAGACAGATGGTAGATTTCATTTACGAAGCTCTGAATCAGAAAGGTAGGAAACCTTTGGACCACTTCGGGATCGGAGTGTGCTGGTGTCGCCTAGGAATACACAAGACCCAAAATTGATATTTCAATCAAATCTACAGAATTATGACTAAACTGTGTTGAAGTTTTTTGTTTGTTTTTCGCAGATATTGCAAAATACAAAGTACATTACAGCAAAAAATCAGATATTACATATGTTTATTGCAGCTGTTTGGTGACTTCAGTTGGATAATTTTTCTGAGTACAATCACATTTGTCTATGAGGAAGCTTAAAATGCAACAATATACTGTGGGTTAAATCATTTGTTTTCATCTTGAAAACTCTAAAAATCAAGTCAACAATGTTACAATCATACTTTTCAAATGATAAAGGCTCTCTGCGGTAAACAATGCAGATATAACCACAAACTTATTTTATTTTAGGCTCAAAATACTCATTTGTGATTTTTTTTTTTTACTGGCAAGTCAGCCACCTGGTAGAGCACATCCATCCATCCATTGTCTGAACCCGCTTTGTTCACGTAGGGTCGTGGGGTGGGGGTGGGGGGGCTGGTGCCTATCTCCAGCGGTCAATGGGCAATCAGGTGGGGTACACCCTGTGCAATCAGGCGAGGTACACCCTGGACAGAGAGCCAGTCCATCGCAGAGCAACACAGAGACACACAGGATAAATAATCACGCACACACACTCACACCTAAGGACAATTTAGACAGACCAATTAACCTAACAGTCATGTTTTTGGACTGTGGGAGGAAGCCGGAGTACCCGGAGAGACCAGGGATGCATGCACAGGGAGAACATGCAAACTCCATGCAGAAAGATCCCAGCGAACCCAGGACCTTCTTGCTGCAAGGCAACAGCATCTAACCACTGCGCCACTGCACAGCCCACCTTGAGTATCTTAAGAAATAATTGTAAAAAAAAAATAAAATAAAACATTTTCTTAAAGAAAATTAATTTAATGGTTGAAAATTTTTTCCCCTTTTATGGGATAATTTAAAATGTTATCCCCAAAGGTTTTTTTAGGATCTGCGGTCTTTAATGTACAGTTTGTTTTCCAACCATCTGTGATGTCACGTGCCACATTTGGTGTTGTTGGCAGAATCCATGTACTGTGAAGTAGGTCCATGGATTTGGAATTGGTGGCACCCTGCGTGGGAGCAAGGGGACATGCTTATGGAAAGAGGGGGGAAGATGTGACAGGGTGAGCATCCTGTCACTGTATCCTGATTGATCATGCGCCCTGGCTACCTGGCCATGGGGATATCCCATTGGCTGACTGGTTAGCAAGCATGACTCTCACCTGGGAGTCTTGGGTTTTTTTCTTATTTGTAGCACTCAACAAGCTTCTGAAATAATTCTGTCTGGATAATCAACCACTAGATCTTAATAATCATCACCTCTTATTACCTGAGAGAGCTTGTACAAAGTGGACGGTTTCCTTCAACAGACCCAGCTTGTAATTACAGTACAAAAAAAAATTCAATACAGTTTAGATTTGGTAAAGACAGTTCCAGAAGCTTAATTTTAGTTATATCCAATCAGAAACCAGTTCTGATGAGTTTAGGCTAATTGTGTGTTGTTGTTTTTTTTGGAGCATTTAATAATGTCTACCATTTCAATAATTTAGCTGATGACTTTTAGTGAATTTGAATCATTTAGACTTTGTTTCAACAACTTTGTACAACACCATGACACTGCCACCACCATGCTTCACAGTTCACTTTCGGGGGTTTGAGGGCCTCCCCTACAATCATATATGGCTGTGTTGAATCAACTTCAATATAGTTAAATTTAATGCCAAAACATCGGGCTTGGTGTTACATTTACTCTTTCACAAGTATACATTCCTGGGTTGAATTGACTCCATGTTTAGTTGGTCAACAAAGTTGTAAATGTGCTGTAGAAATAAAGCTGAGTTGATCACTGATGAGTTACTAGCTGAAACATGTACGGTAAAAAAATCATTTTTGCTAAAATCTATAAGAAAAGAACTAAAAAATGGATTACGGACAAAGACACAGTATGAATGCACAAAAAGTTGAGTTGTGTTGAGACTCTAAATTGAATAATGATTGAACTTCCAGAGCATTCTCAACCATGCTACTTCAACACCATGATTTTTCACCAACACCGGGGAGAGTTTTACTCACAACAATATATTATTAACACTTGTAGAGTCATTGCAATTTGACTGTTAATTTAACACTGCTGATTCTGCTGTGCTCTTGTCCTTGTGATCAGATACTGTAGCTCAATTTTTCTTATTTGACCAAAAATGTTTGATCTGAAAGCATCAACAAGCATCTCCGTTAGTCCTCTCAGTCCATAGTGCTTTAAACCTTCCTCCCCACGGATAGTGACGCTGATGTTCCTGCAATTTCCAGCTCATGGTAGGCTTGAGCCTTTGTGACAGATGAGTATTGGTGAATCCATTTAGTACTGCTGAAACACTTTGCTGGCAAAAAGAAACTAGCAGCTGCAGTCAATCGTAATAATCATCCAGGAGTTTACAAGCCTCAGCCTTGTCAAGTTAAGACTTTCTAGAATGGTTGGGCCCAGTTTTGATCCTTGATGATCTCTTTCCTGCATGTTTTAGAAGCTCTGCTCCAAAAAAACATATTTAAATCAGACTCAAGGTTATTGTGAAGTTCATGCAAATAGGGAATTTGTCTCAGTGACTTGGTGCAGAGCGGCTCACACACTGTAATAAACAAAACAACAAAAACAATCACATACAAGAAAATGCATGCAGTTGTGAATAATATTCAAAATTATTAACAATAGTTTAAACTGAATGGGAAAAGGTTCAATAGCTGGTGGATTAAAATGTTCAGAACCAGTATTTGATGTTCTTATGACAGGTTTTGGTGGACTATACCCTATGAGTAGAGTGAAGCACCTCTGAAAGGTTGGAGGGGTCATTAACAGGTTTCTGCAGAACTGAAAGATAATGCTGAACATGTACTTCTGCTGATCAGAAGAAAACAAACTAGGACCCTCAGCACCTATTAATAAGTTTGGACTCAAGCTGTCCCAGAAAGTCTATTTTTTACAATTGGAAACTGCTCTTTGAACCTCTGTGAGGCATAAGAAACTTTGTTGGTGCTCACAATGGCCCAGGAGCGTTGATAAATAGCCAAAAATAAATAGCCAAAAATAACCATGTGAAGGTTTACCATCTAGGTCAAGGTCATCTTTCAAGGTTAAGGTCATGTGACCATCTACCATGAAAAGTGGGGTTTCCCCACCCACTCAGCCAGGACATAAATATTAGATGAGCTATGATGAGTGGCCAGTTTACCCTCATTGCTTTATGACCACCCGAAAGTGTGTGTGTGTGTGTGTGTGTGTGTGTGTGTGTGTGTGTGTGTGTGTGTGTGTGTGTGTGTGTGTGTGTGTGTGTGTGTGTGTGTGTGTGTGTGGTTTAAAACTGTGAAATAAAGGGTTAAACAAGAAGAGAGTTGATAACGTTTCATATGGGCAAGTTAATACATTTTGATTAAAAGAAAAAAAAATAGTCAGATAATTGTTCTATACTGTGTTTACCACAGGCTATTATGGCTCTAGCATGAATGCTAACTCAACCTGCACTGAAATAATCTTGGTTTCATGGAGGGACCCCACGGATCTAGAACTGCTCCCAACAAGGAAGTGCCAAAAATTGCAGTTCCACCCTCGTCTGCTAGGGGCTGCCACCAGAAGTGAGAAAATCCACATTGACTCCCATGTTTAAAATGCCTATTTCACTACAGAAATAAACATGTTTACAGCCTGGTTTGAAAAAAACCTTTTAGGTTTACTAGATGTAGTTTACAGCCATGACAACTTTGAGGGGGTGAATTGATTTGTAACTCTTCCATTTAGATGAAATTAAATGCTTGAAAATGTGAATAATTAGATTTGATTGAAAGGGAGGAGTGTCAGAGCTAGCGTTAGTGGCTAGCTCAGGGGTAGGCCGCGCTAATAGATTTTAGGGTTAGCGCTAGGATGTTAGTCATGGAATTATTGGACATATAGGCCAGCTGTGGTAATGTTTGCATTAACAGACCATCAAATAAGACTCTGTTTAATTTTTGTCAGTAAGTACTTTTATATTTCTGTACTTTATTTCGCTGGTTGAATGTTGTTGCTATGCATCGATATACATTTAACATAACACTACTCTGTCCCAGCGAAACGGGTGCCATGCCCCACTTGTCTCTCGGCTGGGAACAGCTGCTTTATGCAGGCTGCACGCTTTCATCTCCTGAGGGGGCAGAGATGCGCGCATGCCTGGCTTCCATGCGAGGTTGTAGTTGTACTGGTCGCCCCTGACTTGATATCGCTTCACGTTAGAGTCGCTTAACCGCATTTCTCTTGCCTGATGCGACCGAGAACCTACCTTAGCTTCTTATAGCATGTTGTTAATCTCCCGCTGATCTCCGACCACGGCAGCGCATGACCTAATGTAAGAGGTCAGCTCCGATCACAGCGATCTGAGGCTTTGCTTGTATTTTAACAGTCCATATTAGAGCTCCACAGGTGACCAGCATACCTACAGCCTCGCACGGAAGCCAGGCGGTCACGTGGATTAGCTGCCCTGGAGCACCGTCTAGCTTCGAGGATTAGCTCAGCTATCTAGTAGCTACATTGGCTGATTTGCTCCCACCCTCAGATCCACCATTTTTCCCATTTTTGGATTATCAGGGTGTGACAAGACGTGTGACATGGCCAAAATGGTGGTTGTGTGAATCTCCCTTTTTGCATAAAAAACATATTAATCGAGCCTATGAACATTATTTGTCCAGTATATATGTCGATGGTTGGTCTGTAAGTGGCAAGCCAACTTGGAAGAGGATGGAGGGGAAGGAAAAGAGATGTATCTTTTGTTTATTGGAGTTAAGTGATTAGTGGGGCTTCAGTGGGACTATTGTTTTAGCTCTCTATATTTAGCTCTCTCTGTAGACCCTGCCTCTCAGATCTGAAGTTTAAATCATACACGCCCGGGTGCACCAGACTGCCGGCCAGGCCGGAGCGGCGCAGAGCTGCGAGGGCCGAACGACGCTGCTTGCAGCTTTAATTTTAATTTTTTTCTTTCTTTTAAGGGAGGAAGTGTTACAGCTGTTGCTGATGTCCCAGAAAGCTGACTCTGCAGAGGACAATCAGTGCTTTGCCTCCTCCTACCTGTACAGCTGCACTCACTTGGGCTGATCGCCTCCTGAGCAGCATAAAAGGGAGAGCTGCCAGGAGGAAGGGAGAGACAGGGTCTGCACAAGTTCTCTCATGTGCTCCATTTGTTTGCTTTTTAATGGCTTTTAGTTCTTTAAGCTTAGTGAAGCTTAAGAGCTTTTAGAGGTTTTTAACAGACGAGGGACCAGAGTGCTAGTTTCCTCTTGGCTCCCAAACTTGTAAGTCAGTAGACTTTGATTGTGAATGGCTGGGAGCATTCGGATGTCTGTTTTAAATGTAAACCCTTGACCATTTTAACTGTGTTTTAAGTACTTTTAGATTTGGAGCATTTTGTCATTATGAAATCCTTTTAATAAAATCAGTGTTTACAATTTCCACACCTGAAACACATGCCTCTGTGTTACTCCCTGTCCTTCTCCTCATCCACCAACAGAGCAAGTAACACCTTGATGAGTGAATGTCAACTTATGATGGATAAACTGCAAGGATGCAGCAAAATAAAACAAAAATGAAGCTAAAATCAACCAAAAGGCTGGTCTCATTTCTTAACGCACATCATCATTATGATCTATCAAGACCCATGCTGAACTTTAACAACACAAAGACAGAGAACACCTATAAATAAACACTCCAGCATCTCAACCGCTGCCGTCCAGTGATGTTACGTTAAAACTGTAATGTGTCTAAAACGGCTTGATTTAAAATGACAAAAATATGCCATCTTGGTTCTGAGTGTGTATACAGATTCAGGTCAGACTTTGAAACAAGATGAAACGCTGAAGCCATCTTAATAAGAAATGCTCTCCAGAGCTCTCTGGGAGAGAGATGCTGTCAAAATAAAAGGAATTGGATATCACAGGTTTAATGATCTCAGTGTCAGAATGAATGATGGCAGAGTATAAAGATATGAGGGGAGAATAAAAGGAGTCTGATGGTGTGAAAACTCAGTCTGACATGTTAGCATCTTCATCCAGCCATCCTGCAACACAGTCATCATCTTGCCCTCACTTTTTTGGGAGGCTCCGCATTTAGATCTCTGAATGGACCATGCCTATCATATAATGGGAAATCAAAGGCATGTGCCGTCCTGTGAAAAACCTCATCCATCTACCAGTCTGACAGTTCTCCTCTAGCCTCCCTAGAGGCTGAAGAAGATGCAGAACATCCTTTACGGGTGTTTTAAGGCTGCGCTTACACGCTTTCTTCCATCATCTGAAGACATGCAGAAAGGCTAAAAGAGACTGACATGATTTCAAGGAGTCGCTCACACAGCTGAGCAGAAAACCCGCAGTGCTCCTGTTCACTTCAGTGAAAATGGGTATCCTCTGGCAAGCACAACGTTTGGATAAGCACAGCTTGCTGCCAGCAGCAGAGATTAAAGTGTTTAGACGTGGATGGCAGGGTCTGACTTGGTGGAAGTTTCCCCCACAGGCAGAAAACATGGCAGCTAAGGTCAGGGGCCCGCCACATCTCAGTCCTAAAAATATCCCCTGCACTTGATGCCCGTCACAGAGGAGGTTACACAATCTGTGCCCTGACCCGAGCCTGCCAGACTAAACCGTACCATGCTCTGGCTGCTTTGCAACAATCTGGCAGTTTTTATTTATTTATTTTTGTGGTGTAAGAAAACCAAAGGGCTCAATGTCTCGGTGAGTTAAAATGCATGTTAGAGACAAAAAAGTAGCCTTTTTATGACTGTGAAGGGAGAGATAGGCATTGATTTTTCCTCTGCAACCAAGTAAATCATGTGTGAAAGGAAGCCACGGTGAGAAAAATGGCTTCTCACAACTCAAAGACTGGATCTAAGATAAATGTTGGAAAATCAGCAAAGGACTCCGGTCTGGAGGACGATTACGTCACACCTGGCGGCTATGAGCTGGAGAAAATCCTCAACCGTGGGAGTGTGGTTTATACTCATGTCAATGAGGTCTGGCCTAAAGTCTACATTGGCGATGAGTGAGTAGAAAAGCATTAAAGGACCGAAGCTGAAATGACTTAAAGAGGAACTAACAGTGACTTCCTGCAGGCAGACTGCTAAGGACAAGCTTCTCCTGAGGAGTTTGGGGATCACACACGTTTTGAATGCCGCAGAAGGGACATGGAACAACGTGGACACCGGGTCCGATTACTACAATGACATGGACATTGTTTACTACGGTGTGGAAGCAGAGGACATCCAAACCTTTGACCTCAGCCAGTATTTCTTCTCTGCAGCCAAATTCATTCATGAGACACTGAGCAATCATCAAAGTAAGAGATTTTCACAAATATCACATCTTGTGGTTAGCTTCAAGTCATTATTTGAAAGGATTATGCCCTTATGTTGTTTCTAGACAAACTGCTGGTTCACTGTGTGATGGGAAGAAGCCGATCAGCAACTCTCTTCCTCGCCTACCTAATGATCCACGAGAACATGACCGTGGTGGACGCCATCGAGCATGTAAAGAAACGGAGACGGATTATCCCCAACTGGGGGTTCCTGAAGCAGCTGAGAGAGCTGGACCAGCATCTCCTGGAGAGAAGAGCATCAGCAGAGTGTTGATTCTGCTTTTTGCTGTAAATCAAATCATTTAATTACTTTATGAAACTGACACGGCTATGACAGCTCTGAAGTCATTCAAAACTCTGATTTGAGAGAAATCCAGTTAAGTCTTTGAGTGTGAATCTAATGCAAATATAACAATTCTGAGTTTTAATATCTGCGTTTCCCTGAACCTGAAAGGTGCTTATGTTAACCACAACAAGCCAATTGTTTTTGGTCATTTGTAATTTAATTTTAAAGGGATACTATGCAGTTTCGTTTGCTTTTACACCCCCTTGGTATCCATTATTAATTATCTGTGGTTAAAGCAAAAGCGAAACTTATCTCCTCGCTGTTTGTCGTTTTAATACCTTAATCTAACAGCTGAAACGTATCCCAGTCTTCATTAGTGTCTACAGCAGTGATTCATCACTAAATTAAACGAGTCAGCTGTGTTCATGATCTAAAACATGCAGGAAATGTGCTGGAACGCCAGGTATGTCAGCTGTTTTTTTCCTACAATTCCACAGCACTCTGAAGTTGCAAATGCGATATTCTGGCCACAGAGGGCGGTGAGGGTCTGAGTAACTTTTTATTAACCCTGTAAAGGGTTATTTTAGCCCATTCTGGCTCAAGACAATGATTTAAAAATCTAAAAATAAATTGCATAGTATGGTTTTAAAGGAATAAAATAAGAGAATAATGTCAAATACCTTCAACTAAATAAACAGTGTTAAGAATTCATGTCAAAGAAAAACGTTCAAGTACATGGTCAATCATAATTTATTCTTATGCTAAAATGTACAGCATTTTAAGTGACTGACAAAAGGAGAAAAGTCATAAATACAAGAATGTCATTCTGTTCGATTTGAGTGCACATAGCCGGATATTTCCCCCTGTTCTCACCAGCAACTCTGTACAGGTACAAAGGCTACAAAAGAGCAATATTAACAAGAAAAAATAAAACAAAACACAAGTACAAGTTGCGTTTTACATGCAATCCATTAGCTTAGTTTGTGTCTATTCACAGGCTCTATTCTTCTACAATTCGGTAAAATATAAATTCCACATTTTATAAAGATAGAAAACAAATCTACAGATGGAATGAAAACGTAGCTTTAAAGGCATTATGTAAAATATCGACTTTGGACTAAGTTTATATCTTCTTTATCGTTATTCGTTGTTATAATCATTTAATTCTTTTAAATTCTGCCACACTTCCGGACCTTTTGAAATGTTTTAGAATTTTCAGGGTACAAACACTGAGATATGCTTTGTTTTTAGTCTCTTTTGACAGAAATCAGTCTGCTTTATCAAACAGAAAGCTGCCTCAAGGAGATCCGTTACAAAAGGCTTCAGAATTATACACACATCGCAATAAAACCTCTCAAACCAAACAGAAAACAGGACTAAGTTTACATTTTTTTTACATTATTTGATTTAACAAAATATAGTTTTATCTTTGTCCCTGTGGAGGGATACCTAATAAAGGCCAGATACTTTTAAAATGGCTTGCTATTAAGCACAACACTTGTACAGTACTACTCAAATGCACTGTCACTAACGGAGACTGAAGCATGCTTTTTCTCACTTTACAAAATAAGTACAATAATTTAAATATACAAAGGCATGAGTATAGTACAAACTAAAGGTCAGCACTGTTAGACAGGTACACTGAACAGGTTCAAACAGCCACTATTCTCCACTTGTAGCATTGAATGGCTTCATTTGAGGCTGCTACACGACTGCAAGACCACAGATGAAATCTCTACGTCCGAGCTCTGACCCCGCCTGGCCTAAAGACACATCAGAGACGCTAACACTAATTAAATAGATTTTCATCATAACGATGTAAGGCTTCCCATCAGGAGGAACAAAAATACTTTTTAACGTTAGCTTTAAAGTGAACTCACTGATGAAACTTTTTGCATTCTTTACAAGTGCTGCTGCTGGTTTTTAATTAACAAACGTAACTGAAAAGGACACCAGAAAACGGAACAACAAGGCCTGATCAGTGCATCGTTCCAACGGCCAAAAGCACGCGGGAAGAGGCAGCTCTGTCCTGCGGAGAGTTACCGCCTGATTAAAGGCCCTTTCAGGGACTGCTTGGACATGCCCGTGTTCATGTAACCATGGTGACCAGCTGGAGAGTACACCATGTTGCCATGTGGCGGAGCCTGCATGGGTTGCTGGGGGTATGGCTGTGTTCCCATCATGCCCATCTGCATAGAGTACTGGGGTGACTGGTTCATATAGGCATGGTTGCCATGGTAGCCACTGTTCATCATAGGCTGGCTCATGCTGTAGCCATTCATAGCGTTGAGGGAGGGCATGTTCATGGAGTTGACGTTGTAGCCTGGCGCCGGCATGATGTTCATGCTCATGTTCATGCGTGGCATGGCAGCCAGCGTCCTGGATGGCGCCTGCATGGCGACAGTCTGTGGTGGCCGGGAGTACATCTGCTGCTGGTGGTGGTGGTGGTGGGACAACGAGGCCGACTTGGAGCGTGAAGAGATGTGACTCTTCGATGTCATTTGGGGCATCCGCTGCGAGGGCGGAATGCCCATGTTGGGCTGGAGCATCATGTGTGGCGGCGAGCTGAGGTTTGGGGGAGGGGTCATGGTGGCCTGCACCTGTGGGTTGGGGACCCTGTGTGGGGTCTGGGACAAAGATACCAGGCTGGAGTGCTGTGACGAGAGTGACGGGGTGTTTGCGTATGAGGTGTGGGGTATGGGGTGTGAAGCCGAGTGGTTGAAAGGCAAAGAGTGAGAGTGGTCCATGAACGTGTTGGTAAACTGCTGCAGCTTGGCCAAACTCAGGCCTGACGACTGAGCGTAGTGCCCGCTGCCGTACTCCCCCTGGCGGTTCATCCTCTCATAGAGGGCGAAGTTTGGGTTTCCAGACTCGGGGATGTCTGCCAGCTGCACGGTGGTGGTGAAGTTGGTGGGTATGGCGCACTGAGCCATGGGCTGCTGCTGCTGCTGCTGGCTGTGATGACCATGTTGATTGTGAAGACTATGCTGAGCGTGCTGATTGTGCTGGCTGAGCGGATTGTGCTGCGGGTGGTGATTGTGGTGGTGACTATGCTGGTTGTGGGGATTGTGTTGACTATGCTGGGTTAGCTGATTGTGCTGGCTGTGCTGATTGTGTGGGCCGTGCCTGCTGTGGGAGTTGTGTTGACTGTGCTGGCTGCGCTGGCTGTGTTGACTGTGCTGGTTGTGCTGGCTGTTGCTGGGAGGCCTCTCCACCACCACGCAGCCTTGCGGCGACTTGACGTTGCAATGTGGCGGCGAGCTCAGACTGTTCGCCTGAATCATCCCACAGCTGCCAGGGTTAACGGCGGCCATTTGTTGGCTTACAGCACAGCTGCTCTGGGGCAGACCGCTGGGGGGGATAGTGCCATACGAGCAGCTGTTCTGGGAGGGACCTGCGCCACAGATGCTACCCCCCATGGTGGAGTCATAGCTGCTGGGGTTCTCATAGTTCTCTGTGGTACTCTCAATGCTGCCGAGATCACTAAATCCACTGTCCACCACCTGCTGGGAGTGATCGGACACAGACGGCACATCCATCATGGGGCTCGTCTCCATGTTGTGAAGCGAGGGCACGGAGATGGCGCTGTGATCAGGGCTGATCTGAGTGTAGCCGCTCTCCATGATGGATACTGCAGGGCTGTTAACGGAGCGTACGGACTGGCTGGGATGGGACTGTGCCGAGGAAAGGGGACTGCTGTGGTTTGACTGAGGACAGTCGTCCAGCGAAGTGAGCTGAGGGCTTTGGGCCACGTGGGCAAAACTCTGTAGATTCCTGCAAGGCTCCTGGCTCTCCACACAGTCCTGGAAAACGTTCTCTCCCTCGCTTTCTTGCGTCAGGGACTGAACAGCTTGAACAGTCTCTGAGTCAATCTCCGTGTAGACGGGGTGATCCTCTCTCAGCACGGGACTGATTTTTGTACTCCCTGCAGGCAGAAGAGGTGGCTGATTAGGACGAGGACTGGGTGTGCTTTCCTCCTCGGACTCAGACTCTGCAGGATTATCGGAGTCTGCAGCCGCTATTGAAGCGACGGCTGCATCTTCAGGCGGAGGTGTTGCTTCTGTCTTCTCTGTTACTCCATCCTGCAGGTTTTCTGCAGCACTAACTGCTTCTTTCTCACTACAGAGGTCTTTAGCAACCTGCTGACTCAACTCAGAGCCATTGTCTTCTTTTGGATCTAAAAAAGGTTGGGTGCATTTTGGTGTCTCCTTTGAACTTTGTTCTGACTCTTCAGCGCTGCTCTCTGGCACTGCTGCCTTGCTGTGACTTTCATCTTCATCATCAGCATCCTGATCCTCTAGCTGAGCTCTTTTCTCCTCCTCTTCATCGTTTTCCTCGTTGTCATTCTCCGGCGATACAGAGACCTCGGTGCTGAGCTCCACATCTTTGGCTGGTGAGTCCTGATTGAGTCCACTCTCCCGCTGGTTGTCCTCCGGTGGTTCTGGAGAGTCCGCTCGAGTTGCAGGGCTCGGTGAGACAGCTTCAACGGATGCAGCAGGAGAACACACCGGAGAAGCAGGAGAACACACAGGAGAAGCAGCCGGTGATCCCTCAGGAGAGCTTGACGTCTGGGAGCCGTGGTCAGCAGGGCTTGGAGGCTCCGACTGGAGCCCGTCCTGCGTTAAATCCGGACTAGCCAAGCCTCTGCCTACATTTCTACCCTCATCTGCGCTGATATCCTGATCTGTTTCGTGTTTTGCCTCCTCAATGCGAATATGGTGCTGCTCGGCCTCCATGGGGGTTTCAGGGGGGGTGTAGAGGTTCAGCTTGAAGCCCATCTTTCGTTCATTCTTGAGTCTCCATTTAGGAGGACCTCGTTTAACCCCTTTGGGCCAGCCTTTCTTCCTTTTCACTGGACGAGGTCTGCTGGGTCTTTTGGAGACAACGTCAGCTCCTACAGATGGAAAATCAAAACAACAAAAGCTTCACCGTCTTGTCCTGTTGGTGATGAAGGTAAATCATGTAAAAATATGTGTGAATAGCAACTTAAAATACCTTCATTCCAGAGGTCAAGATCTTTGTGTGCATTCTTCTCAAGCCTTGGGCGACCTCTCCGGCGTTTCATCTGTATAATTGATGTCTTGTAATTTTGTGTCTCTTCCTCCTCTTCATCATCCTCGTCGTCATCGTCGTCATCCTCCTCGTCCATCTCGCCCATTCTGGACGTGTGTTCCAGCAGGGGCATGGGGCGTTCTTCGTCCGAGTTGTCGAACGGTTCGTTCAACACCTCCGTGGTCTCAGAGATGGTTTCTGTCGTTACGCTGCTGTTTATTCGCTTCCTTTTGCGCCCTCGCTTCTTGAGAACAATCGCGCTCTGAAAGGCAAATAAAACAAGCAATGAAAACAGACCAAAACCTTGTTTGCAGTTGAATGACTGAAACTAGGGCACTAGGCGTGTGACCTCCACGAGGATACAGCAGGAACCAGCCCAGGGGTTGTGTGCTAGAGGTTTAAACCCCACTGTAAGACTAAAAGCAATGCAGCCTGGTGTGGGAAACCACGAATGAGACCGGCAGAGCCAGCAGAAACCACACTCTATATTTTACATTCTTTAGTTGTTTCCCACCGGATGCCTACGACGCGACCGCTTTCCTCCTCAGAACTGTCAACAAGCAGAATGTGAAATCAATACTGTAACTAATGCACTAAATAAACTCCATATCATTCTTTTTCTGGTTTCTGTGCTGCTGTTCTCGAACAGACCTCGCTGACATCACCAAGTCAGCTGTAATATTATCTGCAGCACAAGGGGGCAGTGCCATCTAGACAGAACAGATGTAAGAAGCACACAAGAGGGCGGTAAATTAACCATGACCACTGACAATAGTACAAGGTTTAGCCTGCAAAGTCTCAACACCAGCAGTGAAAACACAATCCATTATCTACTGCCGAGGGCTCACAGGGGAGGCTCCAGATGACAGGAGGAAGCCATTGAACCCTACACCACATCTATGAATATTTATCAAACCGTTCCATCTCACTCCGGTACACAACACGCTCTTTAATGAGGGGAATATTTAGATAGCTGTGTGGTTCCACTTTACTGCAGAATTTGTGGACAGAAAAAGCACACAAACAATAAAAGTCACCTTTCTCTTGGCTGCAAGCATCGTATGAGCTTTTGTCAGGATGGGAGGCGAGCCGTCGGAGTCGTCATCAGCTTCGTCATCACTCACCGCCTCTGATGGCTGGATGCGCCTCGACCAGGGGGGAGCGGGGCGGCGTTCGTACGTCCTGTAGGGAATCTTGCAGCGGACCTTGGTGAGAGTTTGCCTGCCGCCGTGAATCATCGCGTTTCCCTCTCTCTCTTCTTTCTCCCAGCAACTGGCCTGCTCCTTCAGTCGCTCAGCCTGGTAATTAAACGGACAAGATGCATTATCTCTGGGAAGGGAGCACGCACAGATAGAACATCTGAGCAACAAGGCTAATGGGAAAACAAGAGATCGGAATTAACATCACAACAAATAAATCACTGCAGGTTTCTCCAGATAAAATGAGCAGCGTCCTGACTGGAGCAAAGGAAACTCTGTTGTTAGAAGACATATCATGGAATATTCAATACTATTAATTATGCAGTGAAGTGATTTAAGGCAATTGTGCACAACATGACATGCCTGCTGAAAGTGGGAATGGATGTCTCATTATTGACCTGAACTTGAACTCTTCAGCGAATAAAACAAACATCCACTAACAGCGTTTCAGGTAAACAAATAAAGAAACCCACATCCATCTCTGCCTCCCTTTCCTCCTCAGACAGAACAGCGTTTAGAGTCATGGAAGGAGTCCAGCGTAAGGCATCTGGGTCCACCTTGTGCTGACACGGGCTAGCCCTCAGCCTCTCCATGTGCCTCTGAATCAATCTGTCTCTTCTGATCAACACAATCCTGACACAAAGGGAAAACAGCACATGAATTAGCGGGACATCCACAACAGAACGAGGCGCTATTCACTGCAGGGAGAAGGGCATGTGTGGCTAAAGCATCGCAAAGACGAGCTCTCTGGGACCCCAGGTGCACCGTGTCCTTGGGGGTGCTTAACCTGACTTACTTCTGTCAATATTCAGCAGCATTTATGGATATGCATTTAAAAATACTCTGTGGCCTGGATAAGTCTGACAGCGGAGAGAAAGTGGCAGTGCAGACTGGAGGAGGAGACGGGGGCTCGGAAACTGACCTGCCATCCTGTCTGTCAATCATGCCGAGCTGCTGGAGAGTAGAGGCGATGTCATGTGGACACATCCCAGTGGCCCTGCTTATTCCTTTAACACTGATGTGTTTATCTGGGTGCTTATAAAGGTGCTCCAGTATGACACTTTTCCAATATGCCAGGTAGGATAAGCGACCCAGTTCTGACAGCGGCTTCTCTGGGGAGCCAGCTTGTCCTTCTCTCCTGGTGAGAAGGTAACCTAAAAAGACACGATTCAAACAAAAAAGAAAACAAAATGCTTTAGTAAAGCTGGAGGATGCAGCTGGGTTTTTTCACACCGCGGTTCAATCCCTTTTGGTTTAGATATTCATTTCAGGATGTGACAACAAGCCATTGTTGGGATTCACCTTCAAACAGCATAAAGGGAGGAAAGGCAATCAGCTTTCCACTCCTTCAACCTCAGTCAGGAGCTCTGATACAAGCTGGCAAGGGCAACAAAAGAGGTTGAAAGAAGGAAGCAAAACGGTGACGGAGTGAAACAGAGGAGCCTCTGAATGTCATTTCTCACCGGAGCCTACGCTTACAGGAGATAATGAAGAAGAAAAAAGCCCAATACTAATACATATGTGAGTGTAATTAGTTTTATGGCAGCCCTGTCAAGGGTCATCCATTACCAGAGACACAAAATTAATTAATGCCTTTTAATGTGCACTCAGAACGAGAACCAAACAAGCTAATCTAATCAGAAAAGAGTCAAGTCACGATAAGCAGTAAGATTCACCACAACACCAGCCTCTGAAAACAAACAGGAGTAAATATTAAACACAATTAAAATCTAGTTTTTCATTTAGTGTCATCAATGAAAACAAAAGGGCTGTCCTGAGGCTTGAAGGGGGAACCTTCTTAAACAAACACTAATGCTGTGTTCTCAGAGCTACCGGAGACAAATTGTTCCTCTAAAACAATCCAATATAGCAGAAAATCTTAATCTAAACAACTTCCAGCTCCAAAGCTACGTTTTCCAATAAAGCCTTCAAAGAGCTCTGAACTCAACTCTCAATATCACAGATCCTCTCGCATCTCTCAATGGTTCCCAAAGTGAACAGGAAATCAAATGCTCCATTACCGCCCGCCCTCCCTGCGCTCGCTTTCCTCCTTTTCTTCCACGCACACAAAGTCGACAAAGAGACGACTCTCGAAAATAATAAAAATGCCTATACTGACAAAAAACTGCCTGCCTAAACACAGAAATCCACTCAAGGCAGCAAATGTTTTCTTAAGTGGACCGCAGCGCTATAAATATTAGATGTGCTGCATTTACTACACCAAAACATAAAAGCAGCCTCTACACCTCATCATCAGTCAAGAAGAGGAGAACTGGGGACATTTTCCATAGAAACTGTTGTTAAGGTAAGATAAAACACCACTAGTTATCAAATAATAGAAGCAACCAGAGTGTTGTTTCTCACATCTAATCATCTGTGATTGCCTGAGCACTGTACATGAATGCTCTTGATTAGACCCTTTCAGAGCTTTAACAAAATAACAGCACCTTGCCACAAGCTACAAATCCACCCTTTAATCTGAAATTATTTGTGAAGACCGATAAAATAAATAAATAAAGAGCGAGAGTGATTCTGGTGGTCTAAAAACGCTTTAAAGAACTTACTGAAATCAATAAGGAACCTTCCAAATCCTTGCCTTTGGTACTGAGGCATAATCATTATGCAGGAGACATTGTACTTCTGCTGGCAAAGCTTTTCCTGAGGGAAGGAGAAACAGATCAAGTATGTCAGAGCTCTGCTGAAGCTGGCAATTTACTGCACCTGCCATTGTCCTTGTCTTTAAACAGCACACATGCACAGAACGCAGTTTAATGACTTTTGCTTTAAACATACCACAGTGTGAGAATTAGGTCTGCAACTGGTGATTATAGTCATTATCGCCCCATTTGTATGGAAACCAATATGTTATTTATCTTCACAGAATGCATGATATCTGCTTGTTTAATGAAGAAAACCCCAAACTAACTACGATTATGCAAAGCTTCAACTCTTCCACGTGTTAAACACCAAAGCCTATTGAGCTCGTTGTTTGTAGACCCTACTCAGGGTATCTGCAGGTTTAGGGGAGCCAAATTTAAGACTTTTTAAGACCTTTATTAAGGCCACTTTGACCAAATTTAAGCTATTTTTTTAATTAAATTTAAGCTATAATTTCCAGCTATTGCCTGGAACCGGTGCTAACCACGTCGTGAACGTGGGATTAGCCATCCAGTTACCATTAATGTTGCACTTCCCCATGGTGCAAGCTCCCACTAGCTTAACCAGCTAATGTGCTCATCTAAAAATAGCCCCCTTTCACAACCAACTGAATGTGTACGGTTCCGCTTACGCCAACATCATACACAAAAAATGCTGAACACTAACTAGAAATTCACGAAAACTTCATAGAAATAAAATAATCTTGTTTATTGGGTCTTTGGTGATTTAAGACATTTGGAAACTGTATTTAAGGATTATTTGTCATTTTTAAGGATTTTCAAGGCCTTAAATTTGGAAAAGTAGATTTAAGACTTTTTAAGACTTTTCAAGGACCCACAGATAGCCTGCCTACTGTGAACACAAGTGAAATCCATGCAGCAACAACACAGGAACTGCAGCGAGGCCTTTCTCTATCTGCATCACCGTTCAAAAATGATGAGCGGTAATCCTTCGTTTCCCATAAAAATCACTGCGTAATTCATACCTTGGAGAAATAGCCCACAAGATGACAGCCTTTCTCATCATTCTTTGTAAGTATGTAGAAGAGGAAAGGCTCCACATCATAATACAAGGTCTTGTGATCCAGGAAAAGCTTGGCTAACAGGCAGAGGTTTTGGCAGAACAGTTTGCTGACATTTCCATCAACCTAAACACAGAAAAAAGAGTAAAGGGGACACTGTTCAAACAGTTTTCCTCCTCCTCGACCCAGAGCCCATTCGTCGGTGGGATCTCATGCAGCACACAGCTATTGCTCTGAAGGGAAGCTGACCTCAAACACAGAGAGGTTGTCCTTTCGGTAGATCTCATTGGCTGGTGGGTGGAACCAGCCACACTTCTTTGTGTGTCTCAGGAGGATGTTTCTGCTTCTCATGTACTTCAGACAGAACTCACACAGATACAGCTTGTGCAATCTGGCAAAGACAACAGGGAAAGAGGCTGTTTGTAGCGCAGAAAGGAAAACGTCAACATTTATCATGGAAAATCCTAATCTAAAGTACCTTGAATATTCAGGCGGGTACGGCGATGAGTACCAGGTCTGAATCTCAAACTTTCCAAACTCGATGACAGAAGGACATCTCATAAAGTCCGTGTTCAGCAGAGATCCAGTTTTCTGTGAGATTTTATGAAGACAAATAGATTTATTGACCCAGAATATTTAACATTACAGCATCTCATGCAGTGAGTCAACATGACTGCATTTATTTGTATCACGACTGAGATTCATAACCCCCATGTGGAAATGAAAGCTAAGATGAATCTGACCAGCAATGATCTCTGAAGTAACAGTTTCTGGTTTGCAAGAACATTCGTTTCGGATCATCTGAACAAAATGATGAGTTTATATGCATCTAATATCTGACAGGTGAATTTAAAGATCAACCTTTGTCATCTTTTTAACACATTTGCAGTGGTCTAGTAGGAATGAATGCCTCGTAAGTCGTACTCTGGGGAAAAAAGTTCAGATGCTCCTGTGTGTAGAAGTCAGCCAGAGGAGAAAGTGACAGAAGATAGCAGGCTTTGGAGTCTTTATTTCCTGACATTCTCACATCTGATTGGCTAACAGCAATATGACTCTTACCACTGACTCTGTTTGCTATGAAGCATTGATGTTTTATCTCCACAAATAACACAAGCCTGGAGGAGTTCTGCTGTGTGGTGGAGCTGCTAATGCTAGCGGTTAGCTTCCATTAGTGGAGACGTTCATTGTTCTTTCCCGGACACTAAACAAACAACAGCCTTCCCCGTCATGAGTCAAGATGGGTGAGTCCGTGAGTGTTTGGTGACAGTGTGACGTAGTTCTGTCAGGATTTTCTAATCCTTGAGTTTCACCGTCTATCTTCGATCAGAAGCTATGCAGGAGATAGGTGTAGGAGACTATTTTCATGTTCAGCCTGCATGAAAAACTCAGAAGCTGTTTTTACAGGATCATAGCGTTAGCAAAACGGGATTTGCCACAGCTTCCTGGGGAGGATAAAGGTTGTTTATACGATCAGACCGTGGCGGTAATGTGGCACAATCGTGGCAGTTTTATAAAGGATTAGGTGATGGCGGCATAAGGGGGTATGGGGGCGGTCTCTGCGCTACCGCAGACTTCCGTTTATCTTGGACATAACTTGCTTTTTTTTTCCCGATTGAAGCCGTGATCGTTACGTTTTTTTAACAAGCAGCTCCTAAAGGTGTCTGTCCCCATCAGTCCCTGCGCAGTCTCCGGTGATCTGAGCTTCGGCTCTAACAGAGAGGCTCGTGGAGCGCTGCGGCGCTCCAGTTTGCCATTTCAGCTGAGTTTGTTCAAAAAGCAAACCTTATTGTCTGTGTTTACTTTCATTTTCAATAAATTTGCCAACTGGAGCTCAGCAATAACTCCCCACGTCATCATGACATCTGCCTCTGTTGCGCCAGGGCGCATACGACAGATCATTACCGCGATATTACTACCAAGCGAGGCGGAACGAATGCCGCATTATTCACGCAACGTCATGCCAGCATGGCACGTTTATAGACATACCATTGCGGTAATATTACACCAATTTGCCGGCATGGTGTGTCTTGTAAAAAGGGCTAGAGTGACTGATTATTTTCAAAAATAATAAGTAAAAGAATAGTTTCTCAGTGAATCTGCACTTTTAAGGTAACATATTATGACTGCTCTTTTTATATTATAATAGTTCAGTGGTTGATACAATACAAGTTTATGAAGTTCTCTGCACTAAATCCCTCAGTACCTTCCAGAATGAGTCGTTTCTGGGCTCTGTCACTATGAAAACAAGCTGGAGCTGGCAACGCCCACCCCTCCCCTGTTCAGGCTGTCCTCCAGCAGCAGCTCTCTCCTCCAGGTGAGAGGTGATTCTATTCTAATTTCCCTAATTGTGACATCACAAACAGGAAGTTTTTTTGTAAACTGCTTGTCTTAGGCTCTTAATTCCTTGTTTGAAATGTTTACAGAGGCACTAGAGACCAGCATGGCAGAACAAAACAATGCAAAATGTGAGCTTTGCATATCACGTTACCTGTGAACTATTTCAAACAAGAGTTTGTTGTTAGGTCAGAATCTAACTGGACTGTGATGGTTGGTGACTCATAACTGAGAAAATACACAACTTTTCAGCTGGAACCACAATGAATTGGAATTTATGACACTTTGTGCAAATGTTGAAATAATGTCGGCATTCTGCATTAAAGAAATCTATATTAAAAATAGTTAAAGACAGTTTTGATCTTGTCTCACCTGGGCTGTGAGTTCCTGGACACGCGTGAACATCTCAATGTCCTCCTCCGTGACGTGTTCTCTCGACGTGGCCACGAACTCCGCTTGGACCTCCTGCTTCACTCGCAGCTCCGCGCCGTGGCCTGTTCCAGGCACAATAATACAACATCAACACATCAGACAGGAACATCGACACCAGCCTGTTTAAAGCAGCCGTGGCTGAATAATCTCGTAAATGCATTCTATGCTAATGTGCTTATACTGTGAGTACTGCTGCCGAGTCTGTTCGAGGCTGGGTCTCGGAGGAATTTCATAATGTATCATCTCTGCATGTTTATATTAAAATCCCTAATGTAATGAAGTGAAACTAAATCACTCTAATTGCGTAACCGCTTTCATGTGCTTAGTCATCCACCAAGACAGTTTCCCATGAATTAAGAAGCAGATGCAGTGAAGGAAGCAAGTGTCGACATGAAAAGCAACTGATGTTGGAAAAGCAGGCAGTAATTTTATGAAAGACGTCAACACCATGACTTAACCACCAAAATAAAAACCCATTATAAGTGGAAGTGATGCGTCATTAGCACATTTATGGATATGTGCTGCCAGAGTAGTCAAGAGTCTGAGCAGGACTTAGTTTAGGACTTTTTGAATCATGCATCACTTTGTTTTTCCTGCGTGAATGAGGTTTCTGTTTTTACTTGGACTTCATTCTGGGAGACAGCAAAATGTAAGGGTTCGAGCACTTTTGAGTGTAATCATCGTGTCAGCTCTGAGTCAACTCGGGTGGGTGAATCACTGGGTTGTACATGTCTAATGACCACTGAGCGTGAGGTTAGGAGGAGACAGTGACTTTAAGAGTGAAGGTGGGATGAGGAAGAGTGCGATGTGACTAGTTTCTACTATGTGGTGATCACAATGTACACACTACTAGAGCGGGTTGGGGACAGAGCAACATGAGGGGGTTAGTGGGCCATGCATTATGCCAAAAAGCCAACGGGCGAGAAGATGGAAGCCACAGAAACTTCACAGCCAAGTCAAAACGCAACCAAACTGTGTTAAGAAACTAAAATAAGAATTCAAATCAGGAAGAGGATTAGTAGCCGGTTAGAATGTTGAGGGTGTCCTCTCAAAGAAAAGATCAGCTCTGGTTTGGAAAAAGCTTAAAAAAAGAAGAAGAAGCTTAAAGGTGTGGAGACGCAGGTCTTGACTGGTATTTTGAGCCTTGCTTACCATTGTTATTCTCAGGCTTAATTCTTCCGTCTGTCAAGTCTCCCTTTCCTGGTGAGGGGGTTCCCTTCTGAGGGCTCACTCTATACTTCAGCCTGCCTAGTGTCCTGTGATTTTTAAGGAAAGGGTTGCATTTGAAATGACTGACCATCTTAAAAGGGCTTCCTCTGGGTCGGCCGGGCCCAGCAGACGAGGAGTGTAACCTAGGTCTACTAAACTCGTTATTTCCAAGGCACTGGGGCCCCATTTTGGGCAAATCCTGCTTATGGGGCAAGAGCTTAGGCGGTGCGTAGGATGGTGGTCTCTTTTTCCGCGACTGTCCCTGAGTAGTAAAAATGTGCGAGAGTCCATCAAAAAGCCCCTTAAGTTGGCTGCTACTGCAGAGACTACTCAGGGAAGGAACACTAGACTGGCTGGAAGAGCTCTGCGGCGAGTTAGCAGAAGTGGAGCTGCTGGACACCTGCGAGGGGGAGCTAAGTCCTGGCAAAGTGGAAGTGGGAAGAAGTGCAGAAGATGGAGGGGTTATCGTTTGAGAGGCATCAGCAGCAATGGCGAAAGGCTCTGGTGACTTGGCCAGTTTGGGCAGACCCTTATCTCTAGAGCCTAACTGTTTGGAGGGTGACTCTATGGCTACAGCTCGCGAGCGACGGCCCACAGGGGAAGGAGTAAAGAATTTGGAAAGCCCATCAATAAGCCCTTTGGTTTTCTTGTTAACAGTGAGTGTGGCTGGGGTGGAGGTGGGCGAGAGGGAGGGAGTGGTGGAGGGAGGGGAAGAGGTGAATTGGGTGGCGTTGACCGCACAACAAGGCTCTGCAACAGTCAATCTGTCTCTGGCGTCCTTCACAGATGCAGCATGACCAGATGAAGGTGTGGAACAGACGGTAATCTTTTGACCCCTACCAGGTGACCCCCTTCCTCCAAGTGCTACCATGGAGCCATCACCACTGGTTACAGACCTGCTGGGACAGAAAGAAGCCAGTTGAAGTGCGTAAGTGTGTGTGGTGTGTTTTTATGCCAAAAAAAAAAAGAGACTTTTGCCCGCTCACATTCTTAGTTTGAGCTTATTTCTCGGCCTTCCGATTGGCTTTGCATATCGACGTTTGATCTGATCGGCCTTCTTGTGCAGTAGCTTCTTCCTATTCTCCTTTGGCCTGCAAACTTGGCAGATCCAGGTTCCTGGAGGGTGTCCAGACACACAGAGAGTACCGTTTTTGGCGGGTTCATCAATTGAGAAGACATACAGTACATTCGTCTGAAACATTTCCTTTATGCAAAGCACTGGCGAGAATCCCACCAGCCCACAATGACAATCAATTACTCAGCACAAAGCGAAAATCCATAGGAAAAACACGGGGTCAATTCTCGGACCAGTAAAATAGACTTCATGTCAGCCTGTTGACCTGAGCTAGGTGACTTCTATGAATGGCCTGCCAAATAGTCTGTTACAAAATGTGCACCATCATCATTACAAGCCTCGCTGTAGGGTCAGTACTGTAATCCAGAGATAGAAAATCTCCCCAGGGATGCTGGAATCATTTGATATGCATGCAAAGCCCCTAATAAGCCACTGCTGCTTCTCTGTGTGCTGAGTGGCAGCCCCAAACGGCCGTCTGAGAAGAAAAGGCTTTGAATTGACAGCAGAGAGGGGGAAACAGAGAAGCCAGACAGTGTAAACACCTCACCTTTTGGCATTCTTGAAAGCGGCGGATCGCAGCATTCCATGTGAAAGCCCCGATCACATGAATCGCAGAACAGCATCTCATCCTGAAAGGGAACAGCAGGCATGTGAAAGGGATGTCCCAGTTGCATACATGCAACACCACTGTCACTTTATTTCTTTTTGAGAAAAATGCACCCAATTCTGCACATGAGAGGGTTTACAAATCTCAACAAATCCCTAAGGAACCACAGAATGGGATCCAGGACACTAAAATCAATGTGTTAAGTGTTACACTCACTGCATTTTTCCCTTGTATTCGACAGGAGCTGCAGGTTTTGCATTCAATGCACTGCCACCTTAATCTCTTCACATTTGAGGTTAATTCTTCAGAGAACTTTAGACATGACGGATGGCCTTCAAAACAGACAAAGATGCATAATTAGCATTTCATGTATCAATCTGCAAAGACAGCGTTATCTGTTCACACATTAAAGTTAAATATTAAAGCAATAAATCCATAAAAACAACGGTGAGCCTGTCCACGATGCTTCCACTCCTCGCCACAACTTGTGTCTAAAAACAGTATGATCAAACATCTGAGCCGCTAATTACAGATAATTTGATCTTAATGAGGCAGAAACGGTAGCAGCACTCTTTCTAATGGAGGCCGATCCATGAAAGTCATGTAAAAGCTTGCCTTCCCTCTCACGCGGCTCCCTCTCATGGTTGTAAAACAGCTGTTTTACAATGAGAGCACAATTTGTGTACACTACAAGTGGTTAATGAAAACCACCTCGACGCTACTCTGTCAAATTTGAGCTATAAAAGTGTCACCAGGAGAACAATTCCTTACGGCATTTAAAATAATTGTTCAGACATAAATGACTGGCAGAGGTAATTTTAGTGGAACAAAAGAACACTAAAGGAAATGCCAACAGGCTGCAGCGGGAAAAGGGCTGATCTTTGTACCATTATAACTCGTGCTCTATAATACAATCCAAACGGAGTCTAAATGACTTTATTGATTTTAGATTTTAATGGTCACTTGGAGTATTTGCCCCTGTGTGGCATGAAAGTCATTTGGATTCCTTCAGTCACCACATGTCAACATTGTTCCTCTGAAATAATTTCTTAAAAGTAAAAAATAAAAATGGAACAAGACTAACAATGTTAATATTGTCTCAACTGAGACACCTTGAATTATTGAAATCCAAAAAAACCTTTAACTGTAATACATTTTTGAATAGTCTAACTGATTTCAAGCAACAAGGCTATAAAAAACATTTAATTCAAGCAATCTGAATTTCCAGGAATCTAATGGTATGATGCCCAAACTCCATAATCATAATAATAAATCTTTAAAAGCATAGATCTAAACAGAAGCTGGCAGGCGTAAGTAATCTAATCATTTCTTTAGACTTGTAAAACAAGAATGTAAAATAACTAAATCTGCTGCCTGTGCAGCAGTTTATAAATCATATGCAACACATTAGCGGCATTAGCCTTTATGGAATGTCACACACTGTGCTTTTTATGAATGTTGTACCATGTGTACATCTACACCAAAGGTTTTAATCGGACTTCCTGCTTGGCTAGAACCTGCGATTTATTAGCTTAATGGGTCAATTAACCAACCTCAGTGTACCTCTAACGCTAAATATACGCACAAACAACCAGTCAGGTTACTCCAATAAAGTTCCAATAAAGTTTACTTTGGCAAGACGACTAAATGCTCATACACAGCTTCCCCTAAGTGTAAGTATCTTTATTAAAAATGTGTTTGAATTACTGTATTGAGATACTTCCAGGTTAGAGTCTCATGAAAAACAAATTCTTATGTGATGTAACTCATCTTTGGGTTTTTGTTTTCTCACTCAAGAATAAAGAATATCAGAATTTCAGTTTTTAAACTCTAATAGAAAGAATTTGGCCTGCAAGCTACGACATCCTTGTTTACCAAAAATAAATAAATAAATAAATAAAATCTCTCTTTTTTTTGTTACATTGATGACAAATTAAAGCAAACCTGCAAACAGAAGTAGAAAATACAGCCATGACATGTACGTATGTATTTGAATTTGTTCAAAAACTGGCAAATTTTGCTATTGAGAGTTTTATTTTGGTTATTTAAAAAATCATCGTGTTTTATTTTGTATTGAAATTCTACAGAGCACATCATAATAGGGGTGGAAATTAGCACATGCCACTGGCCAAATGCAGGCAAAATTATGAAGTGGCGTGTAAATTTGAAAATGTGCACAAGTCACAACGGCGGGTTCAAATTCGATGAAAAAAAATAAACGGCGTGGTTTGCACTCCTGACCTGTCGGGGCAGTGATGTGCCTAGGTTGCTGCTACTCTGCTCTAAATGCCATTATGAAAAAGGAGGAGCAACATGTAGCATTGCTTTTTTGGAGTTAAGCAAGCGGCAGAAAAAAAGGATTCTCAAGAGGAGTTTATGGCAGAAATGAAAGTTAAACAAATGTTTGTTTTTTTAAACCGACAACAGCAAGTTAAGTGACTGGTTTTTTTTGATGGGAGCAGCCAGTCAATGTTTTGTTCCAACAGTCGGCAGCACACTCCTTCCAGCAGCAAAGGTGAGAGTTTTATTCTTTTTTTAAATTGAAATTGGAAGCCATCAAGGATCACAAATCTTCTAACCGACAAAAGCAGGTAAAATGCATCATTTAAGGAAACGCGCCTTTGAAGTAACCTGCTGCTAAGAGGGCACTATGCAGCCTGAAAACTGCCTAGCATGAAAAGCTGAATATACTATTTAGAAGTGCACATGCCATCAGTAAAATGACAGAAAAGCAGATGCAGGTCAGGACTAGAAGCCACAAACTAGATGAGCCTTTGAATGCCAGGGATGTGTAGCCTGTTAAAGTTCGATGTTAGTAGCTACTTAAAGAGGTTCTTACACTGCACCACTGCTGAGCTGTCCAGACTGTTACGTCAGTCTATAAGTACACACGTGTAAAACTGTTACATTTCCTTACAGTATTTATTTTCTTAGACAGTATATGGGGGCGAGGGGGGTTACACGCACAAGAAAAGTAGTGGGTGCTAAAATGTTTGGTTGGCATCAACACATCAATTTGTCAAATACAATTTTTTCTTTTGATCTCTTTCTGAAATACTGACACTTAACTTGCTTTAAATCAGTTGATGGTTTTGTTTTAAATGTCTTTTGGTTTCAGAAACTGTTTACTCTAGAAATCTAGACAGACCATAGCAGAAGGCAAAATGCCTTTGCTCTAAATGTCAGTCTAGTCACGCTCCGTTAGAGACTCAGCAGGCCTGAACAGTCCAGTGTCTTTGTTTGTTGGGTCAATCACAGCGCTCTATTGGTTTATTGGGCCAATCACAGTGCTCCATTGATTTTGTGGGCCAATCACAGCAGGCTTGGAGGGCAGGATGATGCGACTGAGTGAAATAACAAATATGGTGACGGCTCATTTGAAACCGCTTTGGCATCGACTTTGGACCATTTGGACTGGAGATTTTCTTTAATTCAAGAACAGACAGAGATACTTAAGTTCTTTATTTAGAAAAATGATGTGCTTGCATCTTCTTTGACAGTGTATGGCAGACTGCCCCATTGACTAACATCCATAGCGGTAAGTACTAGGGATGCGCGTTTTCCAAAATTTGTATAACTGGCTATTGAAGCCATTAAACAGTTAATACCTGGTTGACAGTACTCTGTCAAGTGTGGGAGGGTGCACTCACTGGCCACTTTATTGGGTACACCTTGTTAGTACCTAGTTGTTTTGCCTTCAGAACTACCTTAATCCTTCATGGCACAGATTTAACAAAGTATTGGAAACAGTCCTCAGAGATTTTGGTCCATATTGACATGAAAGCATCACACAGTTGGTGTGTCAGCAGCACATCCATGGTGGAAATCTGTTCCACCACATCCCAAAGGTGCTCTATTGGATTGAGATCTGGTGACTGTGGAGGCCATTTTAGTACAGTGAACTCATCGTCATGTTCAAGGAACCAGTCTGAGATGATTCAAGCTTTGTGACATGGTGCATATCCTACTGGAAGTAGCCATCAGAAGATGGGTACACTATGGTCATAAAGGGATGGACATGGTCAGCAACAATACTCGGGTAGGCTGTGGTGTTGCAACAATGATTCATTGGTACTAAGGGGCCCAAAGTGTGCCAAGAAAATGTCCCCCACACCATTACACCACTACCACCAGTGTTACTGTCGCCTTTCTATCAGCCCCAACCAGTCTGGTCATTCTCCTCTGGCCTCAACAAGGCGTTGTTACCCACAGAACTGTCGCTCACTCAATGTTTTCCCTTTTTCGGACTATTCTCTGTAAACCCTACAGATGGTCATGTGTGACAATCCCAGAAGATCAGCAGTTTCTGAAATACTCAGACCAGCCTGTCTGCACCAACAACCATGCCACGTTCAAAGTCACTTAAATCACCTTTTTTCCCCATTCTGAAGCTCGGTTTGAACTGCAGCGGATCGTCTTTACCTTGTCTACATGCCTAAATGCATTGAGTTGCCACCATGTGATTGGCTGATTAGTCATTTGCGTTAACGAGCAGTTGGGACAGGTGTACCCAATAAAGTGGCCAGTGAGTGTATATAGAATAGCTTGCCAGGCTAGAAACATTCAATAAGTAAAGCATTACAGAGGCTGACTTACCACTGCTTCCACAGTCTGCACAGGACAGCAGCTCTTCTGGGTGCTTGTCCCGGTTTGACTCCTTCGTTCCAAGGCAGAAACTGCATATTGGGATGGGGTCGACCCGGAGCTGAGTGGGAAAAACAAACAGTTTGAAAGACATGAACTGGCTCTTAGTTATTCAGTGTAATGTTTTTCTTTTAATCACTGGTGATTATGCTTGTTAAGCCAAGATGATAAAACCAGCCTGTGGATTTAATGAAACAGCCAAATAAAAACAACTGAAAGCAGAAAGCTCAAAGAATGAAAAAAGAGCAGAGTTCTCACAGACTAGAGATGAATTATAAATGACTCTCATCCTCAGAGATATGCTACATTTGAGATCTACCTCCTTTATCCATTGCATCTGAATGTGTAAGTGATCTTGGTAATCATAGTTTAAGGGCTTAATCCAATTCTTAAAGCTTGCACTCTAGCCTGAAAGGATTAACCAGCATGTAATCAAATTACCTCAATAATATAACATGCTCTCATTGTTACCACCATGATCCACTGTAAATGTTGCAAGTCTCAGAACAAACACGCATTTAAGGGCTTATTGCTGAGTTCAGAAGTAAAATATGAGCTGAAGGTTTAAGAGGATTTCTCCATTGATCACTCAGAATGAAGGGAGGCTAACTTCAGAGAAAGAGAGAGAGCAAAGAAGACTTAGTGTCATTACCTCACTACAGCAGACAGTCTAAGCCCAACCAATCACAGGTTGAAATCAAGACCAGACTAAACTCAGACAAGTGCACTGCAGCTTTCCTCAAGTTAGTTTTTAAACACAAGTTCAAAAAGCCTCAAGAGGAGCAACAAACAGAGTGCTGAAGGGAAGTTCTTAATGGAAAATAACCCTGGCTAGATGTGATCATAAATAACCCACCTCATCATCAGTTTACACACTAAGGCCTTACAATTGGCTAGAGCTTTAAATGGTACTCTGGGGATGCCCATAATTAGTTCCTGGTTTCTATGACGCAGATCAGCATCCTGAGCTGACACCGAATTTGCATGTTTCAAATCTGCACTGGAGCTGACCTCCAGTTCAGGTTTTATTTTCCCTTTTATTGATAAACCAACACAGAGCGGGAGCATCCTTTCGATCTCTCACGCCATCCAAATGATGCCCAGGAGGGAGGAAGTGCAACAAGGATCTAGTAGCAATTGGGTCATTGTTTCTGGCTGTATCAATGAGCCGTTTTAGTGTGAGGAAGTAGTTTAGCACCACATCAATGATTACTCTATTTTCCAACCTGTTAGGTCAATACTTGCAAGCATGCAGGGGCGTTAAAAGCTGCTCATACAGCACAAAAATCAGTACAATTTTCACATGTGACGATGCTACACCTGTAGGTTTTAGCACAGCAGCTGTGGAATTGCCTCATGTCACAGACTTTGCGCAGATAAATACCGACAAGATCTATAAACAGGGAGTAGACTTGTTCAATAGTCCTAGAAATAAACAAACTTCATGGTACTTTAGTGTTTCGGTTTTATACAACGTTTTAAAGAGTAGTTTTTGGACACAGAATGTCTAATACTACAAAAACAAGCAGTTTAAAGACAATCTATTGGGTTTATGAGACCTTGGAATGGAAATATTTCATTTACTTCCATTGAATTTCTCAGAATATTTTCTGAAGTATTGAGAATGACTGTAAGACACTGAAGCTACAGCTCTTTTTTTTCTTTTCGGATTACACAAGTCTCTTAGTAAAAACACTTCTCAGAAAGGTCAAATACCATTCACTCAGCTGAGATAAAAGGAAGAATGTTCTTCCTTGATCAGAGGCAAAGATATTTAACAACACAGCCTTGCTTAGGAGTTTTTCTCCCCCTTTTTAACAATATAATAACGCACGGACATTTTACAAGGATTCAGACAAAATATATGAAACTGGAATTCAAACATTCACTACAGAAGAGAGTAAGTACACTGGCAGTGAAGTTATTCTCAAAAACAGTGAGTCTTAATATGATTTAATAACACACACTCTCCATAAACTAAGCCATGAAGTCTGATTCCAGGAACTGGATTAATTTCCATTGGGAATATTTTTAGGTCTGGTGAATAAAATCAATAGCAATTTGCAACCTGCACAAGGCTAAAATGCAAAACCAGAAAGACAAACACAGCTGAAGCGATGCTGATGATTTACATGGGGTTTCTAAATTAAGTACATTACAGGAAATTATACTGCTTCAAAAGACCAGGCTGTCCTGAGTGAGGGGGTGGGGTCCTACTGCTGGTAGACAGAGCAAGCTCAAGTAGTTGCATAACACAGCAGGGGCAAAAAAAAAAGAAAAACTCTCATTCCTTGTCTTTGTTCCTGTCTCTTCAGAATCTAATAAACTCTAAATCAAGACTGCTCTTTGTTAACCCTCAAAGTGTCTCTCATTCTCAGCACACACTTGCTGGTTGCGCCATAACAACTAAGAAGGCAGACCATCCTTTGAAGTAAATGTTAAACCTAAAACTGGGGGGGTGATGTCATCAGGCCGGGAGCAATAGGTTGAAATGTTCCAAATGGAAAACAGCAGGCCTTCCTGAGAGCCATGGCAGGACACTGTGTCTCTAAAGCAGTTCTCGGTTTCACTTTTGGCCTGACCACAGACACAGTCACAGTTGTGGCTGCAGTATCAAGGTGTCGCTTCCTGATTATTCACTGTGGAACTGGCGAAAGGGTGACATCTCTATCGCCTGGTGCCGCTCACCACTTCAGCAGCATAACTTGTGCATAAAGAATGAGACCACACTTAATCTTGATAAGTCTCAACACAGGACATGGCATAAGCCTTCACAACAAACTAGATGACTGTACACTGCTTGCACAGCTACGCTGTGACAGCCATTTTCCATCAAACACCCTCCTGCTCTTGTTTTAAAATTGTACTGCAATTACAAAACTGCTAGCATTCTAGGACATTTGTCTGCAGAGCGTGTTATTGCCAAGCACTGGTAACAGAAACCCAATCTCTGCAAGCCATGAACCACCCCTGGGGGTGGCAAAAAGCAGCAGAAACAATGCAACCTGGAAGTTTGTTTAAACGGTTTTATTTCCTCTCTAGGGCGAGTGTGTTTGCAGCAGGATCATAACAGCTGCACGTAGTCTGAGACTGTTCTGGCGTTCTTCCTCAACGCGTTTCCATGTCCCTGCAAATGACCAATAAAATGCCAGCTCCACTGCAACTCACGAGATAGCTGGTCCCATCCTTTAAGGTCATTAGGCTAAGGTTACATAACCTGTGGGAAGCCCAAAGCAGACTGCCTACCACACACTGTCAGCATGACTTTCTGATTATCCAAGCTCTCTTGTTATGGAAACCACAGGCAACACAGTCTTAAAGGGATGAACTCTACATGGCAATATTTCTGACCTCCTAGGCTTAAATCCCAAACATTAAGAATATAATTGTAAAATTCCTGATGAGCAAATTCCATTCAGTGGTAACCCACTCTCATCCCTCCAACTTTGAGGTGATAAATGCCTCAGTTTTAGGATCCAAACAGCCCCTACATCTTATTTAAAAGCCAAAAGTGGTGGGGGTCTAAGAGCCAAGGCGACAAACATCAATAACACGTTCATAACAGGAGTAAGTTGTAGGACACAGTGGCAGCTTAAGAGTGAAACAGGAAGTGAGTAGACGAGCACACACAGACCAAGGTGTTTACATACCTGGTCTCGCTCATGGGGGAGGAGCGTCACTGATGACAGGACCAAGGGGGAAGTGCTTGGACACCTGGAGCTCCTTCCCTCCATGCCACTATGGCTGAGTTTATACCGTGGGCCATTTTTAACCAACCTGCCAACGCTAACCAACCGCTTAGCTGCCAGTCTCAACCTTTGCTGAAAAGCGGGATTGTCAACAACGTTTGAGAGGTCATCCTGATTCCTCAGATACCTCTCGATGTTCTTCAGCGAGGAGCCATGGGTATCATCCAGACCTTCAACGGCCTTTTTAAGTATTTTATTCCAATCAATATGGCGAAGATCACTTGAATTCCATATAGACTCCTTTGATGGCAAAGTTGTGTTTACAGGCAAGATCGATCCAAGCCTTCCAGGAGTTCCTGGGTCCTTGTAGGAAGTGCTTCCCTTATTTGTAACCTTGAGGATAGAGCCATCATGAACACTTAATTCCAACTGCTCAAGGACGGTCTTCTTGTCCAGTCCGTGCACCGTTGCCACCGCATGACAGATTCTTTCCTCTGAAGGCCTCTGCTTTTGCCTTTTTATTTTCTGTATTGCTTCAAGAATCCACCCCGTGTAGAGAGGGTTTGCAAGTTTTACCATGGTTGAACAATGAGCCTCACAAAACTGTGATCCATAAAGATTCCCCCTTTCTGGAGTTGAAGAAAAGGTACATCCACATCCTTAATACGGCCAGGAAGTAACGCTCCACAACAACATCCACAGAGAATTTCTCAGTCCACGGTGAACTTCAGGAAAAAGTTGGCACAAATAAATTCCACAATGACGGTTTTCAGCTGACCAGGAACTGGATTCTCTAGAATCCTAGATAAAACCTGAAAGAGAGAAAAACAAATGTATATTCAAACACAATATGTAAGAAACACTTGGTGTAAAAAGCTAAAACGCAAGGATTTGCAGGACAGCTAAAACATGAGAAACAGATGGATAAAAACAGATGCAGGCGCTGCTTAAAGGAATCTAAGTGACTTAATTCACATTCTGACACTATAATCCGCACACCAAACCAGATGTCCAAAGCAAAAGACTATGTGCCAAACGCAGCAAGTTTTTCACACCGTGGCACTTAGCTAGAAACTTCCACTGACTTCAGGAAAAGTACTGCGTCCTCGACAGATAAATATTTTCGGTTTCAGATTCCTTTTCTGACAATAACATAACCCTTTACAAGTTCAAATTTACTCCTGCGGCACGTTCCAAAATACCACGATGTCACGTCGCTTTCTAACACAAACAAACCGAATTTAAAACACACACACACCGAAAAAAATACATCTAAGTTTAACCGTTAGCTGTCCGCTTGAGACTTTTTTTGACAGCTCGACAATGACCAAGTGATCGCCCACGAGCGGTAATGACACACGTATAAATAATCAATGCTCACTTTCTGACAGCTGCTGTTACAGACACGGTCTCCGCCGAGCCGCCGAGCGGAGAGGAACCGATAAAAAACAAACCCGGAGTTGTGCTCCACCGAGTTGAGCTGATAAATGTCATCGTTTCCAGCTTTACTTATGTCACCTAAACAGTCGCCATTTTGTTACAATGTTGTAGTTTACATGAATCCGACATGACGCTGATTACAATCCAATGGAGTCTCATTAAACCTTGCCTACACTAATGTGCCCTCCCCAGCAACTTCAATTATTGGCTGTAAAGACAAGATCCGATTTCTGGTTTGATAAAGCACATGTCAATCTTTATGTATGAGCTCACTCTGAGAGGCACGGCACTGGCTGTGTGATCTGTCACTTCACTCAATTGACCCGCCTCTTAAGGTGCCTCCGGTGATGAATTGATATCGTTCACCTCTAACACTCATAAAATCCAAACTTACGACTCAGAGCGTTGAAATATCTCGACAATAAGTTACAAACGCGCTGTAACGAACGTAAAGTGGCTGAAAGACGATGACACGAGCTAAATATTTAACCTCATTTACATAGCGTTTAACTCCGGCCCACCTTTACGCGGATTCCTCCTTGAAACAGTTGGTTACACTTGAAAGTGATTTGGATCGTTTTAGGCTTTAATTGGCTGTTTGTTAAATCGATCATTTGTTTGCATAAAACCTGCGAAGACTCGAACGTTCACTTAAAGTGAAACACATTTAATTTTTTTTAATACTTCCAGGTAGCATTTTTAAGGCTCCCGCTGGAAAAAATAAAACAAAAATATCGCTTTCCCCTCGTCGTTATCTTTTTTCCTCTCTCCCTATTTTCATCATTTTCCCGAGGGGTGTTGTAATTCTCTTGATATTGAACTATTACAATGAAGTGGGGCGATGAATTCCGCTTAAGATTAAAAAGAAAAGTAGTACGTGTGCGACGTGCAAGGATGGCATGACCTCTTTATCACCATTAACTATCAAATATCCCCAATGAGGACAAATAGTGAGCCCTGGAGGGGGGAAAGGATGTTCAGCAGGGAATACAAGTTAACACGGCAGCTGGGAGCGTTCCTCCTCTTCACCACTGCTTCTCAATTATGTATCGCTAGTTTTTCGAGCTCCCATTTCTCAGCTCCAGCTTCGCTTTCCCCCTATTATATTAGGAAACGATACAACAGCCTCAACGGAATACACGTCTTGTTTTTTTTTTTCTTCTAAGATCCTGCACAAAATGAGCCGAATCTGCCGACGGCGGCTTAAGTAAAACAAATTAACGCCAAGTTTCATGCAAAGATGAACATTTCTAAGTAAAGGAGGATAAAAGAGAGAGAGTGAGGGAGAGAGAGCAGCAGCAGCGGGTACCGTAAATATTTGCTGGTAGTTTTACCTCTTCAAGTTTCCCCCCTCGGATTACTCCTCTTCATTATCACGTCGAAGGGTAAAATGTGAAGCGACATATTCCGAGCGATTTGGATGTCTTAAAGCGAGGGCTGAAACGCTCGCGCCGAGACATGGAGAGGACCTGATAACAACTAATTGAAAGGTTAATCTACATAGCAGCCTGTGACAAAGTGGTACCCTCCCCCTTCTTCTTCCACTGTAGACATCCCTACTTCAGTGTAGTGGAGCGGACCGTCGCCCCTTTTTAGTGCGCTCCTACGATGATATTGTCAATTTCACTTTTCCCCCTCTCCATCAGCAGTGATGAGCCAACAGGAACATTTTCACACTTCACGTTGTTTTAATGGATTAGCCTCTGCAAAATGCACATTATTATTATTTTATGTAACACTCCTATTAACATCATTGCCCTATGGGCATGTTTAAACTTCCTTTGACGTGAGCTTTATGTGCTGACACAAACACAGGAACCTTTATTTTGAAATGAGCCATTTCCTTCCATGAACACTTTTAATCATTCAAACACCCCAATCAGTTAATTAATGTCAACAAGCTGAATATATATCAATGTTTTTTATTTTTGCTATAATAAAATAGACGTGCTCTCTTCACTCAGCATACCAGAAAGCTCATTTTCCATGCAGTAATACAGATGTAATTAGAGAGATAATTGGTTACTTCTCATCAGATTATAAACACATAGAGCACAGTCAGTGAAGGTTTAAAAAAAAGCTCATGAAAGCATTTCTCCCCCATAGAGGCACTTTTAATGTGTAATTTCATTTGCATTCATCTAGTGAAAGTCTTATTATTATTGCTTTGATGGTTTTATTGAGCTGTATTAATTTGGTGAAATTTAACATCTTTCTGGTATTTATCTGTTGACATTCATTTTCTAATCTACTTGCTATTTGTGATAAATACAAATGAAAAATTCAGTTTAGATGCTGTTGGGAGGGGTTCAATAAAAAAATTAAGCAGATTAAATGAGATTAAGTAGAGTATGAATTTGATAGTTTTAGGAGTGGTGTCATGATGAAGGGGCTGACCAAAAAAAAAAAAAAAAAAGAAAGAAAAACCAGCCTGTGGCTGTAATGAATGCCACCCTGGGCCCCAGCAGGTCCTCCACTGCTGCACAGGGTCCAGGGATAATTTGAATTGGAGCATGTGCCATTGGAGTCTACCCATCCCCCCTTTCTCCCCAATCCCTGCCAACTGCCACACTGGTGTTCACAAACACTGCTGCCCATCTGCGGGGCAAAACACTGGCTTCCACCCCAGTTACTCATTTGTGTGTATTTAAAGACAAACTAAATTTATAGACCCAATTCTGGAGGACATTTTAAGTAAACTTTTCTTCCCCTTCTTGAAAGTTAAAAATACATTTGGAACAAGTAAAGAAACTGGTTTAGTAAATACAATAAACCTGGAATTAAAATATTCATAATGTTTATGATTAATTATATAATGGATCACAAATACTAAATGGATGAAATTGGTTTTTAAATTTGGGCTTTTCAAGAGCAAGGCAAAAGTTTGTCAGGAAAAGTGAGAAAAGTAGTTTCCCTTATTGCGGCAGGCATCCTCATTACTTAATCATGTCTCTCTCTCTTTTTGTGTTTGTGTTTTGCCATCTGTCATCTTGAGAAGCAAATGAACCAGCTGCCATGGAGTGTGATCTTGCCCAATCAGAAATGTGGCTCTTTTCAAAGCGCATCTGCGTAAAACCTTTTTAAAAAAAATGGTGATTTAAAAAAAGTGTCACAAAGTTCTTTAATAACCATTTTGGCTTGACATTGCTTTCACCTAGATGACCCACATGATCATTTCAGCAGAAAACAGGGCTCTGATGCATGGAGTGTAAATACTGGATTTCCTCTAGTGAACTAAAAATATATGATGTAACAAGTTTATTCCAAGAGGGACAAAAAAGTTTTTTTTAAATCACTTTAATTTCATGGTGGAACAGATGAGTGCTGATTGATCTCAAACACTTGAGACTTGGCCCAGTAGTAGTTTGGGCTTTGAGTGGGAGGGGCCTTGGTCCCAAGTTTCCAACCCCCAGCGACAGCACAGCTGGGCACGAAGGATCAGCCTAATTTTCAGGTCCCTTTAATGGTTGTAGCGAAAAGCAACCACTAATCCCTTAAACTGAGAAAAATGATCTCCTGCAGCCCTGCAGGGCCACTTCGGTCCAGTTAGGACCCCAAAAAGCACTGGGAGGGGGCGTGGCAGGAGACAAGTCTCATAATGAGAGGGGGGGTGAGCAGTTGAAAAGTGATTAGCATGAGACTGGCTTATTGATTGAAGTAAAAAGAACTTCACAAACGCTGTAGGCTTTGTGTTGTCCTTGTTTCACATAAATCACCTGTTGGTTAAACAACACATATGGTTTTATTTTGGAGGAGGAGTTCTATGACCACTTGTTTGCCACATTTCTGCAGACGTTTTAGCTCGTGTTTATAGGCGTATTTGTAAAAGGTCCTGTAATCTACTGACTGTGTTTTAATGAAACTTTCAGAAAACTAATGATACTAAAACATTTACAACTGATAAACCTTTAGAGTTAACTCGGTTCATGATACCAAGTCAGCTGACCTTAGAAAACACAAAACTCTCTCAGTTTTATACATAAAGACCCAACATTTGGTCTTGTAATAGCTGAGAGTGATCACTGTTTCATTCTCTAAGCAATGCATGTTTCGATACCTTTCCTTAAAGTTTTGCCATTGACCTGTGGAGCTGACCTTGTCAATTAGTAAATTACATCAAAAACCACAAAATAGATTTTAATGAAACACGCAGAAAATTCTTGTCGGATGTTCATCTAAAGCCGATAAACTTTGGGGTTAACCCCACGCAAGATTACTGCCACAAATAATTGAACATCCAAAAACACAAAAATTGCTATAATTTAGTCACTTTTACAGATGTTGAGCAACAGTTTCCTGTGGTAATAGCTGAAACACTAGCTACGTTTACATGGGCACAAGTACTCGGAATGAATGCCCTATCAGTTCAGAAATTCTTCATGTAAACATGTTAATGTGAATATTCTGATTCGATACGGTCCGAATGGAATGAAATTTCATTCTGATTGAGCAAGGTGGTTTTGTCCGATCATCATTCTGAATGACATCCATGTACACACCCATTGGGACTGTTGGAGTAAAATAATGCCCACTGCACATGTGTGCAACTCCAGCGTGATGTCAGTCCGCCATTGCAGACGCTCAGGACATGTCAAAAACATGGTGGGAGGTAAACAGAAGTTATCCTGTTCTCCTCTCCCGTGGTGGAGGACCAGTAGCGTTACGTACCGCTGAGCCTGTAGCTTAGTTAAGACGATCAGTAAAAACAAAAGCATACAGGTAAAAATGCGAAGAAGTTCCAATAACGGGGCAAAAAACACACTCACTGGATGATCGGACTGTTTCTGTTGGTGTCCATGTACACAGGGATTTGGGATTTCCAATCAACCAAGATTTCAATTGAATAGTGGAAATTTGGCGCATATAAACGTAGCTATTTATAATGTAAAAAAACAAAAGATTTCACAGGATCTGGTGATTTAGAGTGAAGCTGTGCTTTATGATATAAGATTCGACTATAACTTTATCACATTAGTAATTTAAGATGATCTTACTTAAGAGTTTGGCATGAAAAGCAGTGAGATATTTAAATAATTTCAAGGCATGCTAAGTTTTTAATATGATGTTTTTTGTATAACTTCCTGTTTTGTGCCACTATATTTACCTCTCTTAGAAGTTCAAAACACTATAAAGGTAATTCATTACCGACATCTTCAACATCCCAACAGGATCTTCAATGAATATTCTAAAATGACTTCATGAAGTATATATTAAAAATAATCACAAAACTCACCACCTGCAAGAAATAGATAAAAGTTTATACTTTACTGTGTTGCAATCACACCTTAAAACCGCTGAATACACCACGCCTGCATCATCATTGCCACCTCATGGCTCAAAAACCCAAATAGCAGATGAGGCATTTAATGCTAAAAATAGCTAGAGTAACAACTGAGGACATTTTTGAGGAGGTTTGTGGTGTTTTAAAAGATGTTGATTAACATTTTTGAGGCAAAACTTGACTGTATTATTTACATAAAGGAGCAAAAACCAAATGTATTATCATTACAATATGAAGTTGCTAGTTAATGCTGCTCCTAAAGGATAAAACACTGACAGGGTTTCTTTAGCGTACAAATAATAAATACATTATGACATTTGTGATGTCTGAATTACTTAGAGGAGTGATGAGGTGGTGCTGACACACATAACTGATTAGTATCTAGCTGTTTACCACCTTTTTAGGCCTGAAGAAATTCAGTTCTCAATTCAATAAAACAACTTCAGGAGGAGTGCTGCATAAAACATAAATATATTCCTTAGTATGATGGTACTATGTTGTTTGAATTATATTATAATACTTCTGCTGCTTATTAAAGCTTGGTAAAAGCAGCAAAGAAAAAAAAAGAATTAGTCCCACAATGTCAGTCATTGTAAATAAGAAATGTATATAAAAACCCTGAAGCATACAAGTACAGAAGGTATCTTGCAGAAAAGACAAATGTTCAGAGTTTGGATTCATCAGTGAAAGTTCGGTTTCTCTGGGAAGGTGCAGCCGACCCGCTGGATGATGACATTGGCTGCATAGTGTCCGGCCCGGATGCACTCCTCCAAACTTTGCTCTCGGACCAATGCAGAGAGGAATCCTGGGTAGGCAGATGAATAGCATAGTACCACTTATTACCTTAAACACAACACAGGAAGCAGTTAGAAATAAAATAGATCAATGCTTTAAAGCCCCAGTTTGTAATATTTTCACTTGTTTACTATCAAATTGTGTGTATCCGCTCACAAACTTGTCCTTTTTCATGAAAGTTTCTCACCAAAGTCTATTCTAAATAGTCCTATTGGCTTGCTATTTTCAATTTTTCTATACGTAAACAGTGGTCGATGCTCCATAGTCATTAACCATCTTGAAATATAGTAGCTGTTTAGGAACATACACAATATAAAGCTCCACATTTCAAGTTTGCGCTTTGACATTAAAGTTCTCCTTTGTGAGGGGGATGGCGCCAGTTCTTTCTGTGGCCGCCTTGCTGGTTTAGGGAAATTCTGCTTCTTCCTGTTGAGTTGCTTGCCCTGCTCTAAGTACACGTAACTGGATTGAAAACTGGATGTCATTGATAACTGTGGCAGTGCGTGTACGGTTGCGGGGGAGAGGGAGACGAGTAGCGCGACAGACACGGTTGATGCGGTAGCACTGGAGCAAAAAGACACAGCTGCTGCACATGACTGATCGGGCTTATTTTACATATATTTATGGGACATGGACAGAAGGCTCTCAATTCCCTGAGACAGACACTGAATGCTGGAAGAAGCAGAGCAGCAGAAATAGTAATTAAAACTTGCAGACAGTTGAAAGCTGGTGTGTGGTGTTTTCTGTGTGTGCCCCAGAAGTAGCTGTCAGTGCTACAGTGTCTCCCACTCTTGCTGCGTGCACTGCCACAATAACACATAGCCTTTTTGACACGTGTGGGCTACTGTAGCTGCAATACCTACTCTGAACTGTGTGGCACTAATGAGTCAAATGTTTTTACACACTGGGACAAATGGATAGTTCTGTTTAATCATACAATATAATATCCACCATCTGGAGACGTCATAACTAGATAACTGATCGTACCAGAAAAATAATAAACTTTGTAGATGTGTGATGATGGATGATATACCTCCCACAAAAGCATCTCCTGCTCCATTGGTGTCCACAATTGTATTCTGGTCGATGTCTACAACAGGAAACATGGTCACTTTGTCTCCTGTAGTCAAGACAGAGATGAAAACCCGGTTAGTCAATCTGTTGTAGTCATGTTAATAGACAAGGCTCTGCAATAAATAAAGAAAATTAATAATAATCCACATTAGCAGACACAAACATGGATAAGTTTGACAACTGTACAGAAATTAAACTAAAAGTTCACAGTAGTAAATGTGTTATTTGCAACTCGTAAGTGCTAAGTGATCAGGTAAGACATTGCAATATTTTGCAAGATTACTTCCAATTTTATAGAGCTTTGACAAAATGTTCCCATCATTTGCCATTATGAGATGGTCTACATTTGGCATTAAATGTGTCATTTTATATTCATATTACTTAAATCAGGGTTAGGCTATTCGCTTATATTTTGATTTTATCTTAAAGAATAGAATAAGATTTCTACGTTTCTTCACCCAAATTGTACACATTTCAAGTAAAATATTTATGGTCAAGACAGTGGCACATTTGACAAGTTGGGATCCTAATATATTTAATTTCATTTAATTTATTTATAAAGCCCCTTCTGCGACCAATGCAGATGCCCAAGGTGCTGAACACAACACAATAAAAACAAAAAAACCATCAGAATAAAATATAACAACCGTAAAACCAGCATAAAATCAATTAAAAGAGGAGAGTAAAAGCTAAAAATAAAATCAAGAAAAAGAATAAGAGGCCGGGGCATCGAAACTGGGTAAAATTAGCTAAACCTGAAAAGCCTTGACAAAAAAATGGGTCTTAAGGAGAGTCTTAAAAACCCCCCAATGAGGGTGACTGACGCACCATCAAAGGCAACTGGTTCCAAAGTGCAGGTGCCAACACAGAGAACGCACGGTCCCCCCGTGACCTGCACTTAGTGCGTGGAACAATCAACAGCTCCCTGCCGGCTGAGCGAAATGCCCGCGAGGGGGCATGCCTATGCAAAAGGTTTCCAAGATATGCTGGAGCAGTTCCATGTAAGGCCCTGTATGCCAGCACCAAGACCTTGAATTTTGCCCTGTATTGTACAGGCAGCCAATGAAGGGATGCCAACTCAGGGGTGATATGCTCCCTGCGCCTAGTGCCTGTCACGAACCTAGCGGCTGAGTTTTGAACTAACTGCAAGCGTGCTACCGCACCCTGACTAAGGCCGGCATTCAGTGCATTGCAGTAGTCGAGCCTTGAAAGAACAAAAGCGTGTGTGACAGTCTCTAGATGTACTCTGGACAGCAGGGGCTTAATTCTGGCTAGTCGGCGTAAGTTAAAAAAACACGATCGCACAACCTGGTTGATTTGCGCGTCGAATAATATAAATCAATGATAAGGCCCATTTAATGTAGGCAGATATCACAATTTATCATGTATAAATAAAAACAAATTTCTTCAGATGTTCAATTCAATTCAATTCAAGTTTATTTATATAGCGCCAAATCACGACAAAAGTCGTCTCAAGGCACTTCACATAATAAACATTCCAATTCAGGACAGTTCATTAAGCCAATCAGAAATAATTTTTCCTATATAAGGAACCCAGCAAATTGCATCAAGTCACTGATTTATTATTATTATTAAGTCAGGATTTATTAGCATCACACACTCAAATACATCAATTTCTTCCATGAAGATTAGTGTTAAAAGATATTTGTACCCTACGCTATAAACAGACCCAGAGTTGGCCAAATGCATGTTCATGTTAAGGATTCCTATTGTGGAAGCGCTCTTAACAGTTTTCTGCCAGGAACCTAGATTATGCACTTACATATATACTTGATAGAAATGTGGAACATGTTCAAGACCCCAAAACTCTGCTTCATTCAGAAGAAATTCCCAACTAAAAAGTAACGGAACTTCACAAGAAAGAACCCCAACTATTCCCACTGGAACAAGCACCAGGCAGCAGTTGTTTGGAAAAAAGTCACTTCAGTAAAGCACAAAAATTACTTTTTTTTAACTAACAGTGATTGTAAAATGTTATGTTAATAAGGTAAATGATAAAAAACATGATACAAAAGTAACATGGCAAAGAATCAGTGGTCAGTCAGAGACAGTAAAAGGTTTTTGGGAACAAACTCTGCTTCCAAAATCTGTTGGTACATTAAAGTCTGCAAAATGCCATCTTAAAAGTTGTCAAAAAGGAACCACAATGCCTTTAATGCTGTGAGTACCAACTATTCATGCATATGCTGTAATTAACAGTATGAAGACGATCAATGGCATTAAATATCTATGGAGCCAAATTCACTATACACAAACAAAAAGCAAATGCATAGCAGTATAAGTGACACACACACACACACACACACACACACACACACTCAGTGCACATACATGTTGGTCATTCACAAGCAGATTAGTGAGTCCTATATTAAGAACAACTTGTCCACGTTGTCTGCAGCTGTCCGTTGATATGTCCACAGGGATCAGGAATTCTGACACAAGTATTCGATGATTTATAATTTAGGATCATATTTTATTTTATTGTTTCCAAATTAGATACATAATAAGAAAAAATCAAAAAGATTCAACAAATGACCAAAATCACTCACTTTCTGTACAAAAATAGAAAAAGGAACAAACAGTTAAGAATTTCAATTATATAAAAACTACAAAAAAATTATTTGCTGTGAGTGAGCAAATAGAATAAATGGTTCCTGTTTCAGAGTGAATGACAAACAAATGAGATGTTAAATGATCAGGCAGTCAACGAGCTTTTTTGTGTCAAATTAAAACAGTACAAAGTTAGAGTGGTGGTTAAGAGAGTCAATTATTTCCACCAGATTACAGTGCTTCAGCTATCAACACTTCAAAGAGCCTTCCAGGTTAACACAGAGGGGAAAGAGAAACAAAAATCCACCAGATGACAAAGTCTGGAGGTGTAGAGTGACATTAAATCAGCAACTTATGTCAGAACAATCTAAACCACACACACACACACACACACACACACACACACACACACACACACACACACACACACACACACACACACACACACACACACACACACCCATCTTCAAACAATCTGAGGGCCCCAGTGCAGACGTGAACCTTCAAAAAGGTGCCGGAGACAAAAGACTGACATGTGGATGAAAGGAACACGGGGAGGCTGACAGACCTCTTATTGAGAAAAGGGGCCAGGAGTTTAAGGAGCACATGAAGGGGGAAAAAACTACAAGAAATTTGTTTAATGAGGCTCCCTGCTATCTGAGAAGGGCACTCAGAACATCAGAGATGCAGATAAAACTCCTCATCATCAAATTTTAAAGATGTTAAAGTTGTTGTCCTACAGAGCAAAAGATGCTCATCCTGCAGCCGAGCAACACCTGATGTTAGGTAACGCACAGAAGAGACCATCCTGCTGTGGTTGATAAAAACTTTAATATCATGCAACAAAGAGTATCAGATTTTATTGTTTAACTGGGTTCTCAGAACAGCACTTTTTAACAGAAAACAGCTGACTGAAGAGAAATGACAGCAATGCAAGAGTGCTTTCAGGATCAGCTAATTAACTGCGTAACGACTTTGCTTAATTAATGCCACAAACGACGCTCGAGAACCCTCCCCCCTCTTGAAATGATTAACCGCTCATAAAAGTGTTTGCTAATAATGCATTACAGTTTGTCAGTTCTGCTGTTGGGAAACTTCTGGCGTTAGATGTGGTCGAGTTAATGTGACTCACTTTGTTGCTGTAAACCAGAAGGAAACCAGTGCACTTGTTCTGTTAATACTGGTGTTCATTCAATAAATAAATAAAAACAACCGTAGCATTTAAAATTAATGACGAGGGTCCAACAGGAGAAGTTGGGTTTTAATAAAAGTTAAGCATACCCCCTCTCACATGATGCCATAATCATCTACATCTAAAAGTGACAGAATGGGTTAAACACACGTGCTAAAAGTCTTGCACACATGTGGCTATTTTACGCTTCAATCAAAAGGTCGTGTCCATGGTGGAATGCATTTTAGCTCCTGTAATGTTTTGAAGTGAGAGCTGAAAAAACCTGGGAAAACAAAAACAAGTAGAAAAAAAATCTAAAAAATGAGGATTGTTGAATAAAAGTGACCTACTAAATAAATAACTACATTTCAGTGGGCTTTTGGGTGTGGACTTTAGAGGGTTAAATAATGTAAAATATGTCAAAATCTGGTTGGAATCTTTAAAGTGGCAGTGTGTACTATCCTGTCACTAGAGGGCAGCACATACATGTCAGGGTAGTTTTACACCATATCGCTGGGACTGTCGCTATAGTTAAAACCATTACAGTAATTATTGTTACATGTGGAGCAGAAGGCGTACAACCTCGGCGTGACTCCTCAGACTTTGATGGTCCTTCAGTTAATTCCATCGAGAAAAAGGCAATGCTAATGCTAGTTTTATGGCACTATAGTTTCCGGATGTCCTCGGGGGCCTGTGCATGCTGATGATGTCATCATACTACGGCAATACCACTCAGCCAAAACATATTGCATCTCTTTTTCAATTCTGTTCTTTCACGTATGTTTTGGAAAGAGTTTAGCAGTTTTGTCATTAAACACGCCAAGATCACAACATGCCCTATAGGTTATAAAGTGTAAGTCGCTTTGGATAAAAGCGTCTGCTAAATGAATAAACATAAACATAAATTTGTGTTTCTTACTGCCTAAATGTTTTTGAACGTGGTAACAACATTTCTGTAAGTCGTACACCCAGCCAATCATCTAGTGTGACGTCATCGACTGGCACAGGACAAAGAAGGAAACTTGGGGTTCCCCAAAGACACTAGGCCTGCACTCTATGTACTTTAGACAAGATTTTTATGCTGATATGGTCGCCTAGTGAACTAGACCAAATTCTTGCCTTGCAAAGATTGGTCTAGGAATGCACCATTGGAACCTCCGCAGCCCCTTGCAGCATTCTGGCTGGCCAATCACAGCTCTCTATAGGGGTTTCAAACCCATAGAGTGCTACGATTAGTCCACAATAGTAATAATGTATGGAATTTTATATATATGGTTATCTCTGCCAAATTAATATGATATTTT